CCACAGCGCCACCCGCGTCCCAATAGTCCTCTTACCTGGACCAAAAAGGCAGGAATTTCTACCAGGATTCCCACCAGATAAAGTACATTGCAGTAACCCAGTCTTGAGGTTCCCAGTTGCTTCCCTAGCTATCTCAGCGGCTGTTTTCCAACCATAACTGGTAAGGAGCTATTCCCGAGCCCCAAAATAATCCCATCTCATGACATGCGTCTGGGCGACAGTCCCTTCTGAGATAAGTCTCTCTGATAAAAACTAGTTACAGGTATCTGAAGAAGTGTTCATGCACACGAAAGCTCATACCAATAACAAACATAGTTAGTCTCTAAGGTGCTACAGGAAGGAATATTTTTATTTTGATAAAAACTATTGAGCTAATCAGCGCATCGTTGACACACCTTACCCCGGCGAAAAATTACAAGTATGGAACCGGAGGCGTGCCCCCCACAATAAGCTTTGGGCCACCCCCAACGACACCCCCAGAAAACCGCTTTCTGCAAGACAGCCTGGAAGTGCCTCTGACCCACTGCTTTGGTGTCGCCAGCACCCCTTCGAAGTTTGGATTTACTTTTTGGTTTTGATTTCTTGACGTCGCTTCGCTCCATTTCTCGTTTTCAGCCGCTCTGGGCGAACTTCGGAGCGAAGGGCAGGATATCAAGTGCCGCAACCAATCGAGTTATCAATCCGTTAATTCGTTCGTGCCAGTTGTTAGGGATGTGATAAGAGAGGGCTGTTGCCCTCGTGGTACTCCCGAAAACATCTGGCTGGCAGCTGGTCGTAAATTAAAAGGCTGGGGAGCTGCTTTTGCCAAACTGGGGCTCTTCGGATCTTTTGCACTACAGCTTCCACCTGGGGCTGGTCAGGGGAAAACTACAGTTCCCAGTATTCTTTGGGGGAAAGCCAGTTGCTTTAAGTGTGCTTAACATGTACCGTGTGTCTGCAGTCAGTGATGCCGGCTATACCCGAGGGCTTCAAATACTGGAAGCAACCCCAGACGATGGCTCTCCCCTTTGTGTTCTGCTTGCAAGCTTTGCAGAGGCATTTGGGGTTAAGCCAATGAAATATACTCGGAGTTGAGTGTGGATTTCATGCTCTTTATTCAGCTCATAGTGGTGAGGAGGAATGGGAGTTCCCCCAGAATGTCTGCTTTATATACATTATTTACACAATGGGCCTCACGTGATTGGCTAATTCTGAGATTCTCCTGTAGGCCAATCGGGTCGCGGATTCACTTCCACCTGGAGCTGGATTGGGTGGCTCCAGCAGACCAATCAGACTGCTGCATTCTGGAGCCTATTGTTCTAGGACCAATCAGGCTGCTGCATTCTGATTCCAATTGTTCTAGGACCAATCAGACTGCTGCATTCTGAATCCTATTGTTCTAGAACCAATCAGACTGCTGCATTTTGTATCCTATTGAACTCAGTACGTAACAGCCAATGTGACAGAAAGGAGGCTGGATGAGACAGGCCTTTGGGCCTGATCCGGCAGGGCTCTTGTTATATATCCTTACATCTTTTCCCAAGGTGTAGCGACGAGGGTGAAGCTGCACAATGGGCCTGCTAAGAGTTAAAAAGAGGAGAGGAAGGATTCTGGCTCCCAGTCCTAGCAAGCAAGAATTTCCCCTTTTCCTGAGCTGGGAAGTTAACCTTCCAACCTTCCTCACTGCACTGGCTGAGAAAAAACAGTTTGGCTGCAAGAGCTGATGACCCCAGCAGCTGAGAATGTGAGATGCAAGAGAGCAGGGACCAAATCTCATCTTGGCCTTGATTATTAATGCCAGCCTACCTTACAGGACTGCTGTGAGAATTATTGAGAAAATGCATCCGAGGCGATTCGAAGCCTGGGAACGAGCTATACAGGGGTACCTCGGGTTAAGTGCTTAATTCGTTCTGCAGGTCCGTTCTTAACCTGAAACTGTTCTTAACCTGAAGCACCACTTTAGCCAATGGGGCCTCCTGCTGCTGCCGTGCCACCGGAGCACAACTTCTGTTCTCATCCTGAAGCAAAGTTCTTAAACTGAGGTACTATTTCTGGGTTAGCGGAGGCTGTAACCTGAAGTGTATGTAACCGGAAGCGTATGTAACCCGAGGTACCACTGTATTTTAAATCATGGGTAGGCAAACCAAGGCCCGGGGGCCGAATCCGGCCCAATCACCTTCCAAATCCAACCCGCAGATGGTCCGGGAATCAGCATATTTTTACATGAGTAGAATGTGTCTTTTTATTTAAAATGCATCTCTGGGCTATTTGTGGGGCCTGCCTGGTGTTTTTACATGAGTAGAATGTGTGCTTTTATTTAAAATGCACCTCTGGGTTATTTGTGGGGCATAGGAATTCGTTCCTTTTTTTTCTTTCCAAAATATAGTCTGGCCCCCCACAAGGTCTGAGGGACAGTGGACCGGCCCCCTGCTGAAAAAGTTTGCTGACCCCTGTTTTAGATGCAGGGTTGTTTTAAAAAGAGCCCTCTCTGCTGCGTTCTGCTCCAGTTGAATCCAGATATGGGAACGGGGGTCCCCCCCCAAAATAATTCTCTCGTTTTTAACCTCTTTCCAGGCCTGCCCTGTCCTAGCGAGGAGTTTGGTCAGCAAAAAAACAACAACCCCTCACTCTATCGCCCAGCCTAATGCAGAGACACGCTCCCTCCCCTGAATTCCTGCCCCCTATTGACCCCTTGTTTGTCCGGAGAAGTTTATACTTGTACAAGGAACGGTTGCTCTTAACTGGGAGGGATGCCAGCGATGGAATTCCTGGAACAGGCTGCAGGAGCAAGACCGGGGGTATCCCAGACAGCTGCTTGGACCGACCACATCAGAGACCCCCCTTGGAGAGTGTGTGAGGGGGTGGGAGTGGGGGCGACATGGGCCAGTGGGGAGTCAGCAAAGCCGGGATCCTTCGCAGGCCAAGCCACATCAAAGTGAGGCAGGCCCCTCGAGATTCGGAAGGGGGTGCAGGTGACTTGTAAATGCTGCATGGGAAGAAGCTGGCCGCCTGAGGGGTGGAGGTGATGCATTCGCCCAAAGAGTCATGGCAGCTTCCTGCACAGCTCATCGCTGCTCACTGAACCCACTCTGGCTAGCCCCCCCCCCCATGTTGAAGGCCCCCCACCAGCTAAAACTCCCCCCTGCATTTCGCTTCTGGGCCCCATTTCTTTTCCTTCCTTCCAGAAAATTTATACACCGCTTGGTCGTAAAAAATAACCCTGGGTTTACAGAAAGATAATAAAACCAAGCAAAGTTCACAGTGCAGTAAAGTGGTACCTCAGGTTAAGTACTTAATTCGTTCCGGAGGTCCGTTCTTAACCTGAAACTGTTCTTAACCTGAAGCACCACTTTAGCTAATGGGGCCTCCTGCTGCTGCCACACCGCCGGAGCACAATTTCTGTTCTTATCCTGAAGCAAAGTTCTTAACCCGAGGTACTATTTCTGGGTTGGCGGAGTCTGTAACCTGAAGCGTATGTAACCTGAGGTACCACTGTACTTTAAAAATGTACGAAAAGCTCAAATGCCCAAACAGACTGGAATCGCCTTGACTTTCTAAGCATATGGGGTGGGCTTGCCTGAACAAGAATGCTTTAGCAGGCACCGAGAAGAGTACAGGGAAGGCGCCTGGTTGGTATCATGAGGCAGGGAGTTCCAAGGTTTAACCCCGCAGCACTAAACGATTGAGTTGTTGCAAATGTGGAACGGGTATTATGGGGCAGGTGTCATAGTGCCAATCCCGCCAATCAAAGCGGAGGAATGGGCACATGCGCGGGGGTAAGGCAATTTTATAGGTAAACTGGTCTCAAGTTTATATAGTAATGGTAACAGCTTGAACTTGTCAGGTCTTTTCCTTGTTTCAGTTGGTGTATACAGAGGTGGACTGCTGGTCAGTTACGTCCACGCTGAGTTCTCAGAGGCTCTCCGAAGCAAGACTCGCCAACCTGGTGCCCTCCATGCTGGCAGGGGGATGGTGGGAGTTGTAGTTCAACACGCCTGGAGGGCACCAGGTTGGTTAAGGCATCGCCAAGACTTCCGGCAAAGGTCTTGCCAGCAGTACCTGGAGTCTAACTCTGTGTGTAAATCTTCTCCTCTGCTAAGAAGCAACAGGCCACCTTCCAAACATATGGATGCTTCCCCTTGTTAAGTAATTTCGTCCACAAATTCTCCAGAAAACCAAAGGCCAGTTCCAAAGGTTTGTAACTAACTTGAGGATCACGTAATAAGGATGTGTTTTGCAGATGTTATGAGCTGTGGCATGTATGCGCAGGAATACAGCTTTTGCATCATGTGTTTTGGGGGTCTCTGGGACAATTTAAAGACTTAAGGAAACTTTTTTTAGAAAGCGATTATGGTTAGGCACCGCACAGCAATCCTCGACCTCAAGCAACAACTCTTTAGTAACGGTACCTCCCCTCACTGGCCTCTGAGGGGGACCACCATCCCAGTGGGCCTCAGAAACTAGGAGCTCAAGGTGCAGCGAGCATCACCCTGCCATGCGCTTGCCCTCACAGATGGGCACACATGCGCACCCATCCCTTCCGAGGTTCCTTGCTTGCTTTGTTTAGAATAGCTGAGATTCCTGGCATTCAGAACACACCGTTCCTCAGAGGGTGTGAGTCTGAACAGCCATCTCTTAGGCATGAAAAGTTAGGTTTGCCTGACTCGGGGGCCGAGGAGTGTGTTTTCTGTGCCCCACCCTTGTGCGATAGTCAACCATGGGTGCCCATTGGTAGGAAAACACTCTGTACATGCTCCAAGGGACTCCGTTATTTCTGTACATGTTCCAGCACTGAGACCTGCGGGCACCAAACTGATGTTCTGGTGCGGTAGAATCAAATAATAATAATAATAATAATAATAATAATAATAATAATAATGTGATTATTTATATGCCGCCCATATGACTGGGTTGCCACAGCCACTCTGGGCAGCTAAACAGCAAACACAGTAAAACATCAAACATTAAAAATTGAAGAATTGTAATGTTGGAAAGGACCATCCAGGAATGCAGGAATCTTTAGCCCAACGTGGGACTCAAACTCACAACCCTAAGATTAAGAGTCACATGCTCTACCAACTGAGCTACCCCAAGGCTCAAATCAGGCCTTGGAAAGGGTCTGATATAAGCCCCAAGAAGTAAGTTTGCCCAGGTTGCTTCCTCGCTAGCATGATTATGAGCACAGTTTTTTGTCCGATTAAAAAACAGGCCAACATTAATCTGTGTCCTGGACAAAGAACAGGGATGGGGAACTTTGGTCCTCCAGATGTTGATGGACTCCAACTCCCATCAGCCCCAGGCAGCATGACCAATGGAAGGGGAAGATGGGGGCCGGGGCTCAACATCTGGATGGCCACAGGATACCCATCCCTGACCTAAAAGATGTAAATTCTGCAGCTTGTAAAAAACACGCAAACTGAGTGCATCTAACTATGGTATTTCCTTATCTTCCATAATTAATTCTGTTTCGGCTAATGACACAGAAGCTTCAAAGGGCTCCTTCAGGCCAACTCATCTCTATAGCCCTCAGGTCTATAAACTCGTGTGTGTGCAAAACATCTGTCATTCCACATATGGTTTTCATATTAAAATTTTGCACATGCACAGTGACCCCAGAAGTGTGGCATGTGGGCCGCCATAATGATGGGAGGAGGGTTTTTTTTGTTTTGTTGTTAAGTAACGTAAAAATACAAAATGAGAACACAAAATACATAATAAAACTAAAACAAAACAATAACCCACCCACCCACAAACCCATTGAAACAGCCATAGAAATGTTAATCAGCCAAAGGCCTGGTTATCGAGGATATTTTTTGCCTGGTGCATTTTGTTGTTGTTGTTGTTTAGTTGTTTAGTCGTGTCCGACTCTTCGTGACCCCCTGGACCAGAGCACGCCAGGCACTCCTGTCTTCCACTGCCTCCCGCAGTTGGGTCAAACTCATGTCCGTAGCTTCGAGAACACTGTCCAACCATCTCGTCCTCTGTTGTCCCCTTCTCCTTGTGCCCTCCATCTTTCCCAGCATCAGGGTCTTTTCCAGGGAGTCTTCTCTTCTCATGAGGTGGCCAAAGTATTGGAGCCTCAGCTTCAGGATCTGTCCTTCCAGTGAGCACTCAGGGCTGATTTCCTTCAGAATGGAGAGGTTTGATCTTCTTGCAGTCCATGGGACTCTCAAGAGTCTCCTCCAGCACCATAATTCAAAAGCATTCATTCTTCGGCGATCAGCCTTCTTTATGGTCCAGCTCTCACTCCCATACATCACTACTGGGAAATCCATGTCTTTAACTATACCGACCTTTGTTGGCAAGGTGATGTCTCTGCTTTTTAAGATGCTGTCTAGGTTTTCTGTTGCTTTTCTCCCAAGAAGCAGGCGTCTTTTAATTTTGTGACTACTGTCCCCATCTGCAGTGATCATGGAGCCCAAGAAAGTAAAATCTCAGGTAATGAAGGCACCAGGTGAGTTTCCTTGGGGAGAGTATCCCACAAGCCACAGAAAAGGCCCGCTCTCGAGTTGCCACCCTCCAGACCTCTTGCAAAGGAGGAACACAAGGAAGGGGCTCTGATGATGATCTCAGGTCAGTTCATATGGAGAGGCGGTCCTTGACGTATTGTGGCCCTGAGCCATTAATAATAATAATAATAATTATTATTTATTTGTACCCCGCCCATCTGGCTGGATTTCCCCAGCCACTCTGGGCAGCTTCCAACAAAGATTAAAAATACATTAAAATGTCACACATTAAAAACTTCCCTGAAGAGGGCTACCTTCAGATGTCTTCTAAATGTCAGGTAGTTGTTTATCTCTTTGACATCTGATGGGAGGGCGTTCCACAGGGCGGGTGCCACTACCAAGAAGGCCCTCTGCCTGCTTCCCTGTAGCTTTGCTTCTCGCAATGAGGGAACCACCAGAAGGCCCTCGGCGCTGGACCTCAGCATCCAGGCAGAATGATGGTGGTGGAGATGCTCCTTCGGGTATACTGGGCCGAGGCCGTTTAGGTCAACACCAACAGTTTGAATTGTGCTTGGAAACATACTGGGAGCCAATTTAGGTCTTTCAAGACCACTGTTATGTGGTCTTGGCGGCCACTCCCAGTCACCAGTCTAGCTGCCGCATTCTGGATTAGTTGTAGTTTCCGGGTCACCTTCAAAGGTAGCCCCACGTAGAGCGCATTGTAGTAGTCCAAGCGGGATAACTAGAGCATGCACCACTCTGGCGAGACAGTCTGCGGGACTCTTAAGGCTTTAGAGGTCAAAACCAATTCAGACCCGGAAATGAACTGGCAGCCAGTGCAGTCGAGCCAGGATCAGCGTAATATGCTCAAACCTATTTTGCCCTGGCGAGAAACCTGGCCGCCAAATTCTGCCCCAGCTGAAGTTTCCAAACAGCCTTCAGAGGCAGCCCCACGTATAACGTGTTGCAGGAACCTAACCCTGAGGTTACCAGAACATAGAGGACAGAAGCCAGGCTATCTCTGCCCAGATAGGGGGGCAGCTGGGCCACCAGCTGAAGCTGATGGAAGTGTCTCTGCACCACCGAGGCCACCTGGGACTCATGTGACAGCAAAGGATGCGGTGCTATCCCCAAGGTAGCCGCTCCTTTGGAGGGACTGTAACATAGCTGTCAACTTACAGATTTGAAAATAAGGGACCAGCAGCCTCGAAAATAAGGGATCAGCAGCCAAAATAAGGGTTTTCCAAGCACAGGTATGTTCAACTTCTGAGCCCCTCCCAGCCAAAGGCAGAAAGCCCAGCCAGCAGCCAAACGAAGCCTCAAGTGGTGGTTCCTACAGCGCAGCAACCCAGCAAAGGGGATGCAGCAAGGGAAACCACCGTCACTCTCCGCTGGGAAGCGCTGAGCAAAGGCGAGTCCCCAGGCAACGTGGCTGATTTGATCAGCACAAGGCTTGCAAGCTCCACCCCCCAGTCGTTCTTAAGACTCCTTATTGGGTGAGCAACGCAGCCAAGCAACCCAGTTGGAGCCTCCCTCCTCCCTGGCCGGCAGGGAGGGAGGGAGGGAGAGGAGCTACTTCCTTTGAAACCCAGGACATTTAAGGGACATCATCAATAAGGTACAGCAGCGGGACACAGCGCTGGGGTAAGGGACTTTCCCGCCAAATAAGGGACGGTTGACGGCTATGGACCGTAATCCCATCAAGAGCTTTTAACGTTTAATGTCTTCCTCTCTGAAGAACACGGGATTCTGGAGAGCGCTGGCAACAGTTTGTGTACTTGACCCCCAGCTTGGATGACTGCATTTGAAACGGGAGCTAGGTTTCTGCACCTCTGAGTCAGCCGCAGAAAGGGCCTTTTTGGAGAAAGGCAGCCTTGCTTGGGAGAGATCCTTTTCCATCTGTCCCCCAAAGGAACGGCCCTGGCACCAGTGTTTACACAGCTGCCCAGGGAAGGTTGCTCAAAGTGTGGCATGGCACCCACTCACCGAGGCGTGATTCACAGCCCGGGTGGGGGCTCAGACTGGCCGAGAGAGGGGCTGGGAAGACTTAGCGATGGGACAGGTGACTCAGGGCCTGCCGTGTAATTTCAGGCCGCAGAGAGGTATCATTAAAACGGCCCACGGAAGATCGAAATAGCCCCAGGGCCTTCCTGACCTCGTGCCAGCCACACGACAGGGCCTAAACAAAAGGGGCAGGATCATGATAGAGAAGCCGGCCTCAGATAACCCAGCAACTAAAATTCTGACTATATGGGGAATGCCCTAATGCTCTCACTTATTGGCCAGACTTCTCCTTTCCCTTTCTTCTTTCTGTTCTATCCTGCTACAGGTAAGAGTTCGTTTGTAAGCTCTTTGGGGCGGGGACTTCACATTTTGGATGATGAAACTCTGAAGGTAGTGTGTGCTCTAGTATATAAAGGTAAAGGGACCCCTGACCATTAGGTCCAGTTGTGACCGACTCTGGGGTTGCGGCGCTCATCTCGCTTTATTGGCTGAGGGAGCCGGCGTACAGCTTCTGGGTCATGGGGCCAGCATGACTAAGTCGCTTCTGGCGAACCAGAGCAGCACACGGAAACACCGTTTACCTTCCTGCTGGAGCGGTACCTATTTATCTATTCACACTTTGACGTGCTTTCAAACTGCTAGGTTGGCAGGAGCAGGGGCCGAGCAATGGGAGCTCACCCCGTCGCGGGGATTCGTACCGCCGACCTTCTGATCAACAAGTCCTAGGCTCTGTGGTTTAACCCACAGCGCCACCCACGTCCCAGGCTCTAGTATATACAAGCATTCAAACACAGAAAAGGTGAATTCCGCGACTAGCGGGTTATGGCAAATGAAACAATTCTGCGTAATTTGTTTCGCAGTTGTGGGTGCTTTGTGAATTTTGGTCTTGCTAGCTGTGGGTTGGCTGGTCAAGAGCATCCCAGATGGGATTTCAGGACCCAAACCTGAGACCTAAGGGTGGTTCCAAATGATATCACAGTGGCAATTCCTGGTGATGTGATGGGACAAGCCCTGGAGACAGAAGTTAATTGGGAGAAGGGAGAGGAGGAGCACAGATCTCCTGCCAAGTGACTGCTAGAATCTGCAGTCAGCTCCTGCCGGACTGAAGCTTGCAAGTTGCATGTACAGCTTTATTAGCAACATTTGTTTTATTTTATTAAATACTGCCCAGCTGGGGAATCAAAACCTCCACCTGGAAGGGGCCAGGCCAACCTGGAGACTTCAGGTCAGCCCTGGAGTTCTGACAAGGTGCTACCCAGGGCATCTAAGCTGCTAGAAACCTTATTCCAGCAACCATTCTGGCTTTTGAGAATTTAGCAGACATTGCCCATGCACAGTTAAATTGCAGTCATAAGGAATAGAGACATTCTTTACTGTTGTTAATGACAGCTGACTCTTAGCAAGCCTTAAAGACCCACTTGCGGGGGGGAAAAGAGGAAGAGGAGAGGGTATTTTAAGATTATGCACTGTGATAACTTAAAGCAACTATCACCCTCTCTACTTTTAATCTCTACTGTCCACTTAAGAACTACTTACTGACCCAGAACCTTTCAGTAGAGAGGGTCCTTCAAAACTCAGGAGCCGGCATTGCAGTTAAGAGCAGGATTTGTGAGCTGGAAAGTCACGAGCTCAAGTGTCACCTTGGCCATCCAAGCAGCTTTACCCAAGCTACTCCTATCTGTAAAATGGGTATAATAGTGCTGACTTCCCTTTAGGATTGTCATAAAGCAGGAATAGGGGTCCTGTGGCCCTCCAAATGTCGTTAATCTCCAACACACATCAGCTGCAGCCAACATGGAAGATGATCAGTACCACAAGTTCTCCACTCGCCATAAAGATTACAAGATAAACGACCCGTTAAGAGGCTCAGGACGCAGCTATTATTAATAATAAAAGCCCTGGCTCCTGACTCCTGAAAAGATGACAGAGAGAAGAATCTCTCAAATTACGTAGGTGGATTGCTCAGTCTCATTTTTCGATCCTCACGCACAGAGAGACCATCCGTTGGGAAAGTTTATTGGGCCTTGGAAATTGTACAGGAGCCAAACCAACCTCCCACAAGCTCCCGGGAAACAGGGCCCAGGGCGACAAGCGGAGAAACACAAACAGTTGTGTCAAACCGCAAGCGTCTTCCAGGCCAATTGCACCCTGCAATCTTCCTAGCTGTGACCTCAGCGGGCTAAAACGTCTTCCCGCTCCCAGGATCCCTGGCATGCAAAGCCCTGGAAGAGTAGACACAGCAACCTCCATGCTACGATTCTGCACGCCAAAGGACTTCTGCCGTATTCTCTGTTCCTAAAGTTGCAGCATGCGTTCAGGGGTGCAGAACTTAGCACCCTGAAAATCGTGCCCTATATTTCACGTTGGAAACAGCAGGTTTCTAGCCCTCATGGCCGCAGATACGAACTTGAAAGTGCGCCTGGTTCTGCCAAAACTCTGTGAGTCAGGAAAGAGCTCAAAGCCTTAGGGGGACGCCCTCTGTTTGGGCCCGGGCTGCATCCTGTTCAACAAATGAATGAATAAACGACGTCTTCTCTGAAGGAAAATGCCTACGATGGCAGGTTCAGTCCGGGCCTAGCAGCAGGCCGAGGCCTGACGGTTGCCTAGCAGCAGATTAATCACCAGGGGGTTTCCCCAGGTCTCTCTGTCTAGAGAGGGAAAGTGGCGAGGGATCGAGAAGCGAACTGGCAGCGCCCTCCGCTCTGCCCCCGAGGCGGCAGGATGGGGCTGGGCTTTCGCACCCACGGTGCGCGGCTCCAGCTTGCCAGCAGAGTCGGCCCGGTGCCCTGCGTCTGTGGGATTTGCAGAACAACAACAACTGGAAGCTGGCATGGCGCTAGCTGGCATGCAGGAAGCAGGAATGCATGGCTGAATGCCAGAACTCCTGGGTTCCGGTGCCCCTGGCATCTGGGCGGGCATTCCTGGGCAGATAAACGTGCCTGCTTAGACCCCAGGGCTTTTGGGGAAGCTCTGATATACAAAGCAGCATTGCAAAAGACACATCTGGCTGATACCTATCCATCATGGATAAGCGAGGAGTGATGTTTCTTTATATATATATTTAAAAATTTATTGGTTTTACATAAAAGCGATACACCATAAACGTAACATTTTCACACATTAAAAAAGGGGGTTCTTTCGAACCGTGAGACCTCCTTCCTTCCCTCCAGCGGTTCCAATTCTAAATTTTATTCCTGCATCTTTCACTGTCATCTATCTGTTATATAATCATAGTTTCCAAAATCCATGTTACATTGCAAGCGTCGTTGTATTCCTGCCAATGATTTCAGCTGTTTACAGTGGTCTCTCAAATATGCTGGAAAGTTATTCCAGTCTTTTAAGAATACTTGGTCTTCCTGCATATTCCATCAGCTTGGTCTGCTACTCTTCTCTGGTCAGGTCTTTGTCTTCTTTCCATCTCTGGGCAAGAAGCATCCTTGCTGCTGTCATTGCATACATAAGCAGTCTTTTGTTCTCTTTTGGTAGTTCTGCACCTATAATGCCTAACAAAAAAGCCTCTCTCTTTTTAAACAAAAGTTATCTTAAACATTTTTTTCAACTCATTATATATCATTTCCCAGAAAAGCTTTTACCACCCCACATGACCACCACATGTGATAAAACATACCCTCTTTCCTTTTACTTTTCCAGCACACGTTTGAACTGGTTCTGTACATTTTTGGAATTTTACTAGGTGCAACTTTACCAGGGGTGCATCATTTTCATATAATTTTCTTTCAATGAACAGCATTGCGTCCTATAGAGTGAATGCAGGCTGCGTGGCTAAGCCCAAAGCCAGAACAGGGAGACGGAGCGCTGCGCAGCCTTCGGGGACAGCCTTCGAAGCCTCTGCAGGGCAGCGGGATGCCTTTACCCCACTGCCCTGTGGAGGCTATGCGCAGCCATCCCCAAGCTAGAACAGCGAGACGGAGCGCTGCGCAGCGCTCCGTCTCCCTGTTCTGGCTTTGGGCTTAGCCGCGCAGCCTGCATTCGCTCTATAGGATGCACACACATTTCCCCTTAATTTTTGGAGAGGGAAAGGTGCGTCCTATAGAGCGAAAAATACAGTAGTTTATGTAAAATATGCAGGGATTTATGATATGCAAATTCAACCATGGAAAGAGAAGAAGTCACAGGCCTTTTAAGGTTGTTTAGATGAACATCTTAAATTGTAATACAGAAAATTTAATAGAAATTATATACAAAATAAAAATAAAGTGGTTCTGTTCCGCAATGCAGATGAGGCCATACGAGTCACGCTGAGAAAGGGGGAAGCAGTTCAGGAATAGGAAAGAAGGTTCTTTGAAGACTCCCATTTCACTCGAACTTCAGGCTGATTCACACGTACACCAGAGGACGCTGATTCACACGCTACGGGGCCATCAGTCAACACCCCGTCACTTCGACTTCCTGCTCGGGGCGTGAGCTGCCCCCAATGACTGCGTCCCTGTGATAGGAGCCTTCTGGCCAGTGGCGTAGCAGCTGCCAGGGCTCATCCGCACATGGGAATCATCACTCCCGGCAGGCAGAGTTCTGCAAGCCAAGCATGTGGAAGCTCATCCCTGGGGGGCCGGGAGGTTGCTGCCACAGACACAAACCACTTGGAAAACTCCACATGCCGTTAAAAAGAGAGACACTGCGCTTTTTTAAAAAAACTGCCGCCTGCCTGAATTTAACTCTCTAGTTCAGCAAACTTTTTCAGCAGGGGGCCGGTCCACTGTCCCTCAGATCTTGTGGTGGGCCAGACTATATTTTGGAAAGAAATAATATTAACGAAATTCCTATGCCCCACAAATAACCCAGAGATGCATTTTAAATAAAGGGACACATTCTACTCATGTAAAAACACCAGGCAGGCCCCACAAATAACCCAGAGATGCATTTTAAATAAAAGGATACATTCTACTCATGTAAAAACACGCGGATTCCCAGACTGTCTGCGGGCCGGATTTAGAAGGCGATTGGGCCGGATCCGGCCCCCGGGCCTTAGTTTGCCTACCCATGCTCTAGTTCATAGGAAAGTGCGTTAAAATCTCCCAAGTGTCCCTATTTTCCAGGGACAGTCCCGGATTTACAGAAGCCATCCCAGTTTCTGATTTGATTCCGGAACATCCCACTTTTCCTATTTTCATCAGAGAAATGTTGGAGGGTATGGAGTTATTCGACCCGAGCCAAGGAGATAAGTCACTATGCAACCTTTAGAAGACATCTGAAGGCAGCCCTGTATAGGGAAGTTTAAAAATAAATAAATATATGTTTTATTATATTTTTATATGTGTTGGAAGCCACCCAGAGTGGCTGGGGCAACCCAGTCAGATGGGCAGGGTATAAATAATAAAATTATTATGGAATAGGATGTCCCTATTTTCATGGGAGAAATGTTTGTTGTTGTTGTTGTTTAGTCGTTTAGTCGTGCCTGACTCTTCGTGACCCCAGGGACCAGAGCACACCAGGCACTCCTGTCTTCCACTGCCTCCCGCAGTTTGGTCAAACTCATGCTGGTACCTTCGAGAACACTGTCCAACCATCTCGTCCTCTGTCGTCCCCTTCTCCTTGGGCCCTCCATCTTTCCAAACATCAGGGTCTTTTCCAGGAAGTCTTCTTTTCTCATGAGGTGGCCAAAGTCTTGGAGCCTCAGCTTCAGGATCTGTCCTTCCAGTGAGCACTCAGGGCTGATTTCCTACAGAATGGATAGGTTTGATCTTCTTGCAGTCCATGGGACTCTCAAGAGTCTCCTCCAGCACCATAATTCAAAAGCATCAATTCTTTGGCAGACAGCCTTCTTTATGGTCCAGCTCTCACTTCCATACATCACTACTGGGAAAACCATAGCTTTAGCTATACAGATCCTTATTGGCAAGGTGATGTCTCTGCTTTTTAAGATGCTGTCTAGGTTTGTCATTGTTGAAAGGTATGAAATCACAAGGACCTGTGGACTGGGGTACTGAAAGGTGCGGGATGTACACAATGCTGGTCTTATTCAGAGCAGACCTACTGAAATTAATAACAGCAAAGGATTACCTTCAGCTAACTTTTTGTCAGAGTAGACTGGGCTGAAATTAATAGGCCTAGGTTAGGCACGACCATTAATTTCAAGAGATCTTCTCTGAATTCTCTCCCCATTGCAGGCATTTGAGTTCAAGATACATGAATCAAGCCCCTTGCTTGCTAAATTTGCTGGATTTTTACACATTGCAGAATTCCGGCTTTCGGCGACGCACAGCTTACACGAACCGAAAAATGCTCCACCCCTGGGCTGCTGACTTTAACAATATAATTAAACGCCCAAGCATTTCCTTTCGCACAAAGTTTCGTGGCCCAGGGGCCCGTTGGCAAAGCTCCCTCACCATTGCAACTTTCCAACAGTACCACGCCAAATAAGCTACGGGCGTTCTTGTTTTGAAGATGTAAAAGGCAACCCAAAATAATAATAATGGGGCGGTGCATCTCTATTACACGCAAGAGAGACATATTCTGAGAAGAAGTTAAAGCTGGTACAAACTGACATCTATTTCAAAGAAGCCTCATTGATACCAAGAAAGAACTAATCTCCCTTACTAATCGCACTGTGGGCGGGAGAATCATCGTGGAAGAGAGTCTTTCACAAAATGTGAGAGAGTGCTTAGGGGGAAAAGCCACACACACACTGAGAGCTGTCTATACTCCCAAGTAGTTGCATTTAAGTCCAGCCACATGGTACCTATGGAAGAGCCTGAAGTTTTGTGCCTAGGAAAGGGGGCCTAACAAGTCTTTTTCATAGAACTGTAGAGCTGGGAAGGACCTCGAGTATCATCTAGTCCAACAACCTGCAATGTGGAAATCTTTTGCCCAGCGTGGGACTCGAACCCACAACCTGGAGGTTAAGAGTCTCATGCTCTGCCAACTGAGCTATGGTAATCTATTAGGCAACAAAGTAGGGAAGGGGCTGGATTCCTCCGAGAATGGAAGTTACCGTATTTTTCGCTCTATAGGACGCACTTTTTCCCCTCCAAAAATGAAGGGGAAATGTTTGTGCGTCCTATGGAGCGAATGCAGGCTCCTTGGCTTCAGCGAAAGCAATGCGAAGCCTCCAAAGCGCAGAAGGAGCGCTCCCTCCACGCTCCGGAGGCTACGCGTTGCTTTCGCTGAAGCCTGGAGAGCGAGAGGGGTTGGTGCGCACCGACCCCTCTCGCTCTCCAGGCTTCAGGGATAGCCGCCTGAAGCATTTGGAGCGCAGCGGGACCTCGTTTTATGGGGGAACCCCAGGCTTCCCCCTTCAGCCCCGACACTGATTTGATTCAGAATATTTTTTGCTTGTTTTCCTCCTCTAAAAACTAGGTGCGTCCTTTGCTCGGGTGCATCCTATAGAGCGAAAAATACGGTAGTTTGATCTTCAGATATCCAGAGTGCTGTCACGTGGAAGATGGAGCAGGCTTGTCTTCTCCTGCTCCTGAGGGTAGGACTCGAACCCATGGCTTCAAAGTACAAGAAAGGAGATTCCGACTACTGAACATGAGGAAGAACTTTCTGGCAGTAAGAGATGTTTGACAGTGGAACGGCTCTCCCTCAGGAGGTTGGGGACTCTCCTTCCTTGGAGGTTTTTAAGCAGAGTTTGTTGGCCATCTGTCTTCGATGCTTTAGTTGAGATTCCTACATTGCCAGGGGTTGGGGTTGGACTAGATGACCCAGGAGGTCCCTTCCAACTCTACAATTCTGTGATTCCTGGAATGGCCTGTTGAGAAGATTTGAAGTGTGCAACTCATTAAATCAAACTGCTGAAACTCCACTAACGCTGCCTTTCACACCACCTTAACTCTCATAAACAGGAGCCAGCTCGTAAAACATAGTACTTTTTGGGGGGAGGGGTGTACATGTATTATGTTAGAAACCCCCCACCCTATAAAGCAGAGCAACTCTTTTGGCCCAAAGGAAGGCGAAGGCAGAGAGCATATTCAAACATCCCTTATTTATTTTAAAAAGAAAATCCAGCTACTTAATATGTTGTAAAATGGTCCCAGGGAGAAGAGAGGTTGTGACGTCACAGCCGCCAGGCAATCAGAGCTGTGCAAAGCTGCCTACTGTGCAAAACATGTTTGTTGTTTGGTCGTTTAGTCATGTCCGAGTCTTCATGACCCCATGGACCAGAGCACGCCAGGCACTCCTGTCTTCCACTGCCTCCCACAGTTTGGTCAAACTCATGCTGGTAGCTTTGAGAACACTGTCCCACCATCTCGTCCTCTGTAGTCCCCTTCTCCTTGTGCCCTCCATCTTTCCCAACATCAGGGTCTTTTCCTGGGAGTCTTCTCTTCTCATGAGGTGGCCAAAGTACTGGAGCCTCAGCTTCAGGATCTGTCCTTCCAGTGAGCACTCAGGGCTGATTTCCTTCAGAATGGAGAGGTTTGATCTTCTTGCAGTCCATGGGACTCTCAAGAGTCTCCTCCAGCACCAGAATTCAAAAGCCTCCATTCTTTGGCGATCAGCCTTCTTTATGGTCCAGATCTCACTTCCATACATCACTACTGGGAAAACCATAGCTTGAACTATACGGACCTTTGTTGGCAAGGTGATGTCTCTGCTTTTTAAGATGTTGTAAAATGGTCCCAGAGAGAAGAGAGCTTCTGACGTCACAGCCGCCAGGCAATCAGAGCTGTGCAAAGCTGCCTACTGTGCAAAACATACAGACGTGATTTTCCCTAAATGGTTCCTGAATAGCGATAAATATGTCTGTCAACAACGTAGCAAGTGTACAGCCGCCGCTGTTTTTTATGTACATCTGTTACACACCCTGAGTGAGTTGAAATTTGAATGTGGGACTTGAATGTACCGCTTTAGGATGCAAAAGGGGCACTGCCCGTGTGAAAAAGCACAAGTTTAAACAAAGTCTCCTGCATGTGGAAAGGTAGTACGCCAAGCAGATGAGATTCAGCCTTCATATGCATATGCTTTCCATATGCAGGGATACTGAATCCCGTTCCGTGATTTGATAGTAGAAGGGAGCCACCTAGTGGCAACTCTGTAAACGGCAGCCCATCTGCGTTACACTATAACGCCCCAGTTTGGGGGATCCTTCCTCCTGCTGGGTCCAGCTGCTTTCCAGCCAAGCTATTAATTTGGAGTGGGCAGGATCAACAGAGGCAGGAGTCTGGGGAAGGAAAGAAGAGCCCATGGCTCCTGCCAACAAGGAAAACGTAGCCAGGATTTCGATGGAAATCCCCATGCTGTAGGTGGAGCTGAGTCAGACGTTTGTGAGTCGTTTGGAAAATGGAAAAAGCAGAGCTGAGCCAAGCGGGAAAGGGCGGAAAGACAAAACAGAGTGGGAGCTCCTGACTGCTGTGACGGATGTCATTCAGTCAGCCACTGGCATCTGGACACGCTTGGCTCTCGCCACCCGAAATCCCTTGCAGATGCCCTTTTTCTGCCATTGGAAAACTCTGTAGGGACTGGCATCAATAGCAGCAGCAGGAGGAGGATTTTACGGAGATATTATGGGGTGGGGGGACAGTTTATGCAGAGCCTAGAGACCTACAGTCACGTCCAAGTGTGAAGTGCAGCAACACTCTGCCTCTTTGCCACTATTTCTCAATATTCGGCACAGGACCTCTTTAGTTGTAGCAGTAAATCCATTCATAAACATGACATGGCAGCCGCACAGCCTATGTCAAGTGGGCTCCACACTAAATTTTAAAAAATGTAGTATAAACACCGACAACTGGGAAACAGTGGCCTGCAAGCGCTCCAGTTGGAGAACAGCCTTTACCAAAGGTGTCATGGGCTTTGAAGACATTCGAACTCAGGACGCAAGGGAGAAAGGTGCTAAGAGGAAGGCATGTTTGGCAAACCCCTCACCATGATCAGCTCCCGCTCAGAAACCAATGTCCCCACTGTGGAAGGACGTGTGGATCCAGAACTGGCCTCCACAGTAACTTATGGACTCATTGTTAATACCGTGTTTATGGAAGACAATCTTACTCGGCTACGAGGGATCGCCAAAGAAGAAGACACTAGGGCTGGGCAATATCTGGTTTTCAACATCGCAATATATCACCAGCTAAACATTACTGATATATCACAATGCCTGAAATAAGGGTGTAAAAGGTAAAGGGACCCCCTGACCATTAGGTTCAGTCGTGTCTGACTCTGGGGTTGCGGCGCTCATCTCGCTTTATTGGCTGAGGGAGCCGGCGTACAGCTTCCAGGTCATGTGGCCAGCATGACTAAGCCGCTTCTGGTGAACCAGAGCAGCGCACGGAAATGCCGTTTACCTTCCCACTGGAGCGGTACCTATTTATCTACTTGCACTTTGACGTGCTTTCGAACTGCTAGGTTGGCAGGAACAGGAACCGAGCAACAGGAGCTTACCCTGTCGCGGGATTAGAACTGCCGACCTTCTGATCGGTAAGTCCTAGGCTCTGTGGTTTAACCCACAGCGCCACCCGTGTCCCCTTAAATAAGGTTGAAATAAGGGTGTAGAGGCAGGCATTGGCTGGCTTTGCCGTTTTTCCCACATAGTGATTTTTTCCATTGCATGCACTCACACACACATTCTGATTTGTGATGCACTGCCCGGTCAAAAATTACAAAACTGATAGCATGATATTGACTTCAAACCGGTTTTGGATAGTAATAAAGCATAGTGAATTCTAGGCCTTTGAGAAATGCGCCCTAACAATAATTAATATCAGCCAGGGCTGCGATCTTTTCAAATGCAAGTCCTTGCACTGAGCAATGGTGGAGTCTTGCACTCTTGCTGAAAACCCCGCAGGTTTGAAGAAAGAATAAGCAAACACCCAACTGTCAGGACATGATGTCCATGCTTCCTCAGCTAGGGCATGTGACTTTGGTGATTTAGGAGCCCAAAGCAGTTGCAAATGACGTAGAGGAGTTCCTGCAGGAGGAAAAACCTGTAATCTGATTCCAGAAAGTGAGCTTTCTTTAGGCAAACAGCTCACGGTTCAAGTGGATGTTACCGGGTGCCTTTATCTCTGCAAAGAGCACCTCAGACCCTGTGCAAAGAGCCTGGGCCCGGCCACCCTCTGAATACACGGTGCTGTTGGAAGATACAGGATAGCACTTCTTTACACAGCACACAACTTATGGAACTCACTGCCACAGGAGGAAGTGACGGCCTTGGGCCTAGACGGGTTACACAAATTTGTGGTGAGATATAGATAGCTACTTGTCACAAGTGTAGGCAGAAATGCTGCTGAATGCCAGCTACAGGTATGCTTTTGAATTCTGGTGCTGGAGGAGACTCTTGAGAGTCCCATGGACTGCAAGAAGATCAAACCTCTCCATTCTTAAGGAAATCAGCCCTGAGTGCTCACTGGAAGGACAGATCCTGAAGCTGAGGCTCCAATACTTTGGCCACCTCATGAGAAGAGAAGACTCCCTGGAAAAGACCCTGATGTTGGGAAAGATGGAGGGCACAAGGAGATGGGGACGCCAGAGGATGAGATGGTTGGATAGTGTTCTCGAAGCTACCAGCATGAGTTTGACCAAACTGCGGGAGGCAGTGGAAGACAGGAGTGCCTGGCGTGCTCTGGTCCATGGGGTCATGAAGAGTCGGACACGACTAAATGACTAAACAACAACAACCAGCTACAGGAAACTGCAAGATAATAATAATATTATAATAACTTATTATTTATACCCTGCCCATCTGGCTGGGTTTCCCCAGTCACTCTGGGCGGCTTCCAACAAAATATTAAAAATACAACAAAACACCAGACATTAAAAACTTCCCTAAGCAGGGCTGCCTTCAGATGTCTTCTAAAAGTCAGGTAGTTGTTTATTTCCTTGACATCTGACGGGAGGGCGTTCCACAGGCAGGTGCCACCACCGAGAAGGCCCTCTGCCTGGTTCCCTGTAACTTGGCTTCTTGCAGCAAGGGAACTGCCAGAAGGCCCTCGGAGCTGGACCTCAGTGTCCGGGCAGAACGATGGGGGTGGAGACGCTCTTGTGTGAAGCTGCTGCTTGCACGATTCCTGTAGGCATCTGCTTGGCCACTCTAGGAACAGGATGCTAGACTAGTTGGGCCACTGGCCTCATCCAGTAGCAACATGTAATGATCTTACGCACTCATATCTTCCTTTGGGACTTCCCACGGGGTTCTGTTTGCGTGCTGCAAGAACAGGGTAAGAACAACATCCAGACACAGGAAGTTGGTCCACAGGCCAAATTTGGCCTCCCAGCCTTCCACATTTGACCCACAAGGCCATTTCCCACAAACCACCTCCCCCTGCCCCACACCTGACGCATCATATGATGTCAGGTGTCGGGCATGCAGAGATGCGGCCAAAAGCCTGCAGAAAGCAGGATCAAACTCCTTGCACATCAGCTGATGGGAGTTCATTCCTGCTTGACTCAGGTGCATGAACAAGGTCCCCAGATGTGAGCTTCCTGGGACATGTGGAACCTGGAGAAGGCAGAACTGAAGTCCCCAGCACTTGGGTTGGACTGTGGGGGGTAGGAGATAAAAATCCGGCCCACAGGGTCAGACAGGCTCCCCCACCCATGTCCTAAAGTTAGGATTGTTGTTGCTGTTTAGGCGTTTAGTTGTGTCCAGCTCCTCATGATCCCCTGAACCAGAGCACGCCAGGCACTTCTGTCTTCCACTGCCTCCTGCAGTTTGGTCAAACTCATACTGGTAGCTTCGAGAACACTGTCCAACTACCTCGTCCTCTGTCGTCCCCTTCTCCTTGGGCCCTCCATCTTTCCCAACATCAGGGTCTTTTCCAGGGAGTCTTCTCTTCTGAGGCAGCCAAAGTATTGTAGCCTCAGCTTCAGGATCTGTTCTTCCAGTGAGCACTCAGGGCTGATTTCCCTAAGAATGGATAGGTTTGATCTTCTTGCAGTCCATGAGTTATGATATCAGGTCATAAAAGTTGGATTTCCTGGAAGTGAGGAAGACGATGGGAGGCTCTCATCATCAACCTTCCTGTGCTCTAAGATTGCCACTAAAAGTTCTGCTGCAGATGCAGCCCAGCTTGAGCTGAGGCAAGGAGCAACTGGGGAAATGGAATTCTCTCCACGCCAACCCTGGAAGGTAGGCCTGGAGCTACCACGTTTTATTTCCAGTGGTTATTTGACCCAGGCTTCTCAAGTTATATCCTTTAAACTGCTGTAATTTAATCTCCAGTTCTTTGCTGTTCCCTACTGTCATGCATACATCATTTTAGTTCACCGTTGTGATTTTGCTATTTTGTTTTTGCAAACTGCCCTGGAAACACAGCACTGAATTATTTTTACGATAGCTAAAGGAGGAACGCTGACTATTATGGAACTGAGATGCGACGATCGACTCGGCCTGGGTTGTTGTAAGACTGATCTCCCAAACCATCTCTCAGCACTTACGCCAGTAGCAGGGGAGAGAACCCAGGAATCCTGGCGCTGAATTACTTAGTTGTTGCTGCCCCCTGCTGGCCGCAGCTGGTCGAGGTTGAGTTCCTGGCATTTGCTTTCAAAAGGGGAGCGTTGAGCACATTCTCAGCTCCCAGCTCAACAGACATCACTAGCACCCCTCGTCCTCAGAGTAAGAAACGCCACCCAGGGATTCCAGCCTTCGTTCTGCCCTCTTCCAACCAGGTCTTATTCCACTGCTGCAACTGAAGGCAGCACCTAAGAGGCTTAAACAACCTTGGTCCAATGTACCTGAAGGAGCGTCTCCACCCCCATCGTTCTACCCGGACACTGAGGTCCAGCTCCGAGGGCCTTCTGGCGGTTCCCTCATTGTGAAAAGCAAAGCTACAGGGAACCAGGCAGAGGGCCTTCTTGGTAGTGGCACCCGCCCTGTGGAACGCCCTCCTGTCAGATGTCAAAGAGAAAAACAACTACCAGACTTTTAGAAGACATCTGAAGACATCCTGTTTAGGGAAGCTTTTAATGTTTGACTATAGTATTTTAATATTTTGTTGGAAGCTGCCCAGAGTGGCTGGGGAAGCCCAGACAGATGGGTGGGGTATAAATAATAAATTATTAGTATTAGTAAAGGTAAAGGTAAAGGTAAAGGGACCACTGACCATTAGGTCCAGTCGTGGCCGACTCTGGGGTTGCGGCGCCCATCTCGCTTTATTGGCCGAGGGAACCGGCGTACAGATTCCGGGTCATGTGGCCAGCATGACTAAGCCGCTTCTGGCGAACCAGAGCAGCGCACGGAAACGCCGTTTACCATCCCGCCAGAGCAGTACCTATTTATCTACTTGCACTTTGACGTGCTTTCAAACTGCTAGGTTGGCAGGAGCAGGGACCGAGCAACGGGAGCTCACCCCTTCGTGGGGATTCGAACTGCCGACCTTCTGATCGGCAAGTCCTAGACTCTGTGGTTTATCATTATTAAATCCCCTGTCCTTCTGATCAAACCAGGATCGCCAATTTTTCAAACAGCCTGGCTCCTGAGCTTTTGTTGGAAGGAGCCTGCCAGGTGGGGAAAAAAGGAGTCTTCAAAGATTTCCCTGTCAGGGAGACGGAGGGCCCTTCAGCTGCTGCAGCATAAAAGAATGACGCCAACGCAGTGGCTGGGTTGGGCAGAAAACACAGCAAAGAGTCAAGCAACGCTTGTCTATCAACGAGGGGAATGTTACAAGGAGGAGGCTATGAGAATGCCGAGTTCCACAGCTAGAAGTAAAGAACGAGTTACAAAGATCATGGCTGACACCTGTCTGTCTCAGGAGGCAATGGAGAAGTGTGCCTTTGGAGGAGTATATCTTGGGTGTTAGGGGAGGGGTGGTACTTCTGGTGGGGGACACGTCATACTCCTTTAGGGGTAGTTTGTCCATCTTTGGTCCCCATCCTGCACTCAGCTCTCACCTGGGGCTCCTAAAAGCTGTCAGCATGTGACAGCAACACCATGAGAAGTCTTCGAGTTGTGGCTAAACCAGGTGAGGGTAGCCGATGGGTCTCAAACCCTCAGTGACTTAGGGACTCACAGACTCTGGCTGATGGAGCGGACAAGACCAATAGTGGGGCCCATGGGCAAGAAGGCGGCTTCTGTGCATGCTGTAGAGAGAAGTGATGGGCAGAGGGGACTCATCCACCTGGGAAGGGAGCCCATCTAGCAGAAGGAAAGCTCTGATTCCAAGGATCACTTGCTCCCTATTCCCACCTCCCCTTTCCTAACCCTTCAGGGCATTGATGGGAAACTGGTGCTGGGCTCCACTCCCACCAGCTCCAGCTGATGAGGACAAAGGGATAGTGACGATGGGAGTTGCAGTCTGGCAACACTTGAGCTACAAGTTCCTCATCCCTGGCTTAGGGGCATCTTATTTTAGATACGCTGCAAGCTGCCCAGAGTGGCTGGGGAAACCAAATAATAATAATGGACTTTTGATATGGTGCAGAGATAAATGTGGCCTCGATCCACTGGGAACGGTGAGCAAGTCAGTTAAGGAAACGCAAAAGAAAATCAAGATGGGGCGAAGGTCCTTCTCGCTTTTAAGAGACCACCCAACAAATTACTTAAAAGGTTGTTTATTTTCAGCTGTCCAACGCTGCAAAAAATAATGATCAATCGGACATAGATACTGCAAAAAGCCAACTTGCCAGCCAGCAATGTCCCTCGCACGGGAGGGTTTGGGCTTCAGGCCAGCCCCATCTCTAACACAGAAGACCCATTTCTTACAGGAAAGAGACAGAGACACATCTCTACAACAGGAATGTCCAAAAGCGAAGGCGGCGCCACAGAAGGGAAGCCAAGATCTGCCCAGGTGCTTCTGATCCAGACGGCCGATGACCAGTCCCAGAGAGCGACATTCCCTTCCTTACCCCTCTTTAGCAACTGGGAAGTGGGGAGCTCAGGAGTGGTGGGGTGCAGAAGATGCTGCAGGCATCACAGACCGTCCATTGCCATAGACCTCCAAGACAACTCACCCTACACTCCAGTGCCATTCTGATCCCTATCGGCGGAGCCGCCCAGTCCAGCAGGAGAGAGGTTGCACAAGGTGGGAAGGAAATAGCCAACACATCCTTCTTGCTGCTGCATCCTGGCACCTTGGGGGGTCAGGATCTCAGCCCCATCTACTCTGCTTCCATAGCGTCTGCGTCTTCCGGCTCCTCCCCATCAAAGTAGCGCTCCTCCTCATCCCGCGACACGATGTCCAGGTTGTCAAAGTCGGGGTTCTCGTCAACCTCGCTGGAGGGAGGAAAGGTACGGGTTTACACTCACAAACCCGGAAGCGGCTTCAGGTCTGCGGAGCTGGCACCGAGGAACCAGCTTGCTCTGTGGGAGGGAGAGGGGTCCGCAAGTTTTGGCTGACCCACAGAGCCAGCCACAATCTGTGGCTGCTGCTCAGCATGCCCCCACAAGCCCCCTGGCATGTCCAGAGAGTGTAAGGCAGAGGGGAAGCAATGCAAGATCTCCACTGCTCCTCAGAGTCTCCAAAGCCCAGAGCGGTGGGAGCTTCCAAAGCAGGGGTGGCCAATCTGTGCTCTCCACCCATTGTTGGACTACAGATCCCATCATCCCTGACCACAGGGGCTTGATGGGATTTGGAGTCTCGCAACATTGGCTGCTCCTGCTCCAAACCTAGCAAGAAGAGAATGCCCCTCTCCCTTGCCCCACACTCTCTGCATGTTCTAGATCGCCCTTCCGTGCTCTGGAGCCCATCAGATGTTTTGGACGACGACTCCCATCGCACCTGACCTGTGGCCATCTTGGTTGTGCCGAATGGGGAGCTTGAGTCCAGCAACAATTGGAGGGCACAGGACTGGGGTGGGGCAGGAATGTTGTTCAGGGTAACGGAAGAGGGACCTGGGTCTCTCTGTCTCATCCAGCGTGGAAGTGAGGGGCCCTCTCCACCTCTGAGTTCTGTGCAATGCGAGACATGAGATGCTGGCTGGGCCAGGAATGGTCTCGTTTCTTTATTTGTCCATTTATAAACCGCTTCGCAGGCAGAAATCACTGAACCAGTGTAACAATACTAATAATAAAAATTTTTTTTTATTTATACCCCGCCCTTCCCGGTTCAGAAAACCGGGCTCAGGGCGGCTAACAACAAATTTAAAACACTTAATTGTTGCTACAAAAAAACCAGCATTCAATACAGTATAAAACGTGAAAAAAATCAAAAATCAAAAATCAATTTAGGGGGGAAATCCATCCAATAAACATTAGATGATCACCAGGGCTAGCTGGCTAAATTAGTTCTATTTGGGCCAGCGAGGAGACCAAGGGAGAATTAGCTGTGGGATCCCAGAGCGGGTAATCTTCATAAAAAGGGGAGGGGGAGGGAAGGAAGGGGAATAAAAGATCAGGCTAAGTTCAAATTGAAATCCAGGTGGAATAGCTCCGTCTTACAGGCCCTGCAGAAGGAAGTTAAATCCTGCAGGGCCCTGGTCTCATGGGACAGAGCATTCCACCAGGTCGGAGCCATCACTGAGAAGGCCCTGGCCCTGGTGGAGGATAATCTAATGACGGCTTGTCACCAAAGTGATACAGAGAAACGCCCACAGCAAAGAGTGAAAGGACCTATCCACTGATGTCCCGCCCTGATTCCTCACCTGTAGTTGAAGTCCCTATCCTTGCCGTCGAGGAAGCGCTGGTACATGCGGCTGGTGAACTCTTCCCGCAGGTAGGCCTTCTCCTCCTGTTCAGGGACCCAATCCTCCATTTCTAGGTCAGAGGCCTTGTCTAGAGAGGGGAGAGCAGGATCAGTGAGCCTTCTGGAGCTGGAGATAAGCTACCCTTCCTCTCCGCACCCTTAAAAAAACAGCAACATTCCCAGCCCAGAGGATGCCACAGTCCCAGGTCTTCTACCTCCATCTCTCAGGAACCCAAATGAGCCCAAGAGACCGGTCCTCCAGTCCTCATGCTCATATCAATGGCGCTTTTGCTCTTCCTCTCAAAGACCTGGATTTCATGCTCTGCTGCTCAAATCACTGGATGAGACCTCCAGGCCTCTCCTGCTCTAGGGCCCCTGAGACGCCTCCCAAGGCCACAATCCCTATCTATGCTCCTCAGTGGCCTTCCTCAGATGCCTTTTCAGGCTGGCAAGGGTCCCTGGACAGCGCTGATGCCTCTTCCTTGCCCGAAGGGAGGAAGGAGAGATGTTCGCAAGGGGCAGGGCGAGCGCATACAGAAACCTGTGACTTTCCTTGGAGAAAGGAAACCAGGGAACCAGGCAGGGGGCCTTCTCAGTAGTGGCACCCGCCCTGTGGAATGTCCTCCCAACAGATGTCAAATAGAAAAACAACTACCAGACCTTTAGAAGACATCTGAAGGCAGCCCTGTTTAGGGAAGCTTTTAATCTTTAATAGGTTATTGTATTTTAATATTCTGTTGGAAGCCGCCCAGAGTGGCTGGGGAAACCCAGCCAGATGGGCAGGGTATAAATAATAAATTATTATTATTATTATTATTATTATTATTATTATTATTATTAAAGGTGAGTGGCTCCCACCCCTGGCACCCGTTAGCCTCGGGCACCCACCCCTGGCATGCTGCCCCCATACAAACATAAGAATAGCTTTGCTGGATCAGGCCACTGTCCAATCTAGTCCAGCATCCCGGTCTCACGACAGATGGCTGTGGGAAACCCGCAAGAAGGACCCGACATCTCTCCCCCCCGCCCTGTGATTTCCAGCAATGTTCAGAAGCATTGCTGCCTTTTGACTGTGAGGCCAGGGCATAGCCATCAGGGCCAGTTGCCATCGATAGCCTCCCTCCTCCATGAATTTGTCCAGCCGAAATCCCAAGGGAGCAGAAAAGACAATTTATGTATGCAACTACGGCTGCGAGGATGCTACAGTGATCCATGCGATGGTCACCTCCAGGCTTGATTATTGTAACTCACTCTACGTGGGGCTCCCTTGAAGCTGACCCAGAAACTCCAGCGGGTGCAGAATGCCACAGCGAGGCTCCTTACGGGGTCTTTGCCGCGGGACCACATTCACCCGGTGCTATACCAGCTCCACTGGCTCCCGGTGGAGTACAGGGTCAGGTTTAAGGTGCTGGTTTTGACCTTTAAAGCCCTATATGGCCTAGGACCCTCATACTTACGGGACCGCCTCTCCTGGTATGCCCCGCGGAGGATCTTAAGGTCCACAAATGACAACATTTTGGAGGTCCCAAGTCGCAAGATTGGTCTCAACTAGGGCCAGGGCCTTTTCAGTATTGGCCCCGACTTGGTGGAATGCTCTGTCACAAGAGACTAGGGCCCTGCGGGACTTAACATCTTTCTGCAGGGCCTGCAAGACAAAGCTGTTCTGCCTGGCCTTTGGTTTGGACTCAGTCTGACCCTTATGTTTCCCTCCCCTTATGGTTTTGATCTATGGGCTACTTTTAAAATGAGGCTGTATTTTAAACTGCATTTTAACCTGTATTTTAAATTGGTTTCCCCCCCCCCATTATGTTTTTACTGTAATTTTACTGGCTCTGGCCGGGGGGGGGAATAAAATTTATTATTATTATTATTACTAGCCTAGAGGTTGAAAGAAGATACTGTCCCTGCCAGAGAAGAACGGCAGATCAAGTTGATGAACTATGCCAAAATGGCAAAAATGACCGGAAGAATCAGAAATCAGAAGGACCAAAACTTTAATAGGGAATGGGGGATATCTACAATTTATCTTAAAAACAACTGTAAATTGTTAAAATCGTTAGTGGGATTGCAATAACACTTGCAGTGTAGCTATGGACATAATGGAGCTACAAAAATTTGGATCATTATAAAAGATGAAGAAGGAAAGGACTAACAAAAAGACCCACAAAGGGGAGGAGGGAAGTCCAGGAGACTCTCAGGAATCTTGTTTCTATATAGTATGTTGTTAGCTAAAGGTAAAGGAACCCTTAACCATTAGATCCAGTCTTAGCCGACTCTAGGGTTGCGGCGCTCATCTTGCTTTATTGGCCGAGGGAGCCGGCGTACAGCTTCCGGGTCATGTGACTAGCATGACTAAGCTGCTTCTGGCAAACCAGAGCAGCGCAGGGAAAAGCCATTTACCTTCCTGCCGGAGCAGTACCTATTTATCTACTTGCACTTTGAGGTGCTTTCGAACTGCTAAGTTGGCAGGAGCAGGGACCGAGCAACAGGAGCTCACCCCGTCGCAGGGATTCAAACCGCCGACCATCTGATCGGCAAGTCCTAGGCTCTGTGGTTTAACCCACAGCGCCGCCCATGTCCCATAGTATGTTGTTATGTGAATGTAAATTTTAATTTGGAAAATCTAATAAATAAATTTGTAAAAAAAAAAAGGGAAAAATAAGAATGTGTCCAGTCATCTTTTAAAGACATCCAGTTTGGAGGCCATCACTACCTCCTGGAGCCATGAGTTTCATAGTCTTAACTACAGTGGTGCCTCGCAAGACGAAATTAATCCGTTCCGTGAGTGTCTTCGTCTAGCGGTTTTTTCGTCTTGCGAAGCAACCCTATTAGCGGCTTAACGGATTAGCGCTATTAGCGGTTTAGCGGCTATTAAAGGCTTATCGGCTTAGCGGATTAGCTGTTAAAAGGCTATTAAAGGCTTAGCGGCTTAGATAAAGGGGGGGGAAAGCAAAAAAAAAATCTCAAGACTCGCAAGACATTTTCGTCTTGCGAAGCAAGCCCATAGGGAAATTCGTCCTGCGAAGCAACTCAAAAACGGAAAACCCTTTCGTCTAGTGCGTTTTCCGTCTTGCAAGGCATTCGTCTTGCGGGGCACCACTGTATTCCCCCAGGCTGGGAAGGTCTCCCCGCCCTCCGCTAGATCCCACCCCTCTTCTTGACCAACCTTCATCATCGCTGTCTTCCTCTTCCTCCTCTTCGCAGGCCTCCTCCTGTTCCTGCTGGACCTGCAGCCGCCGCTGGATGACCTGCTCCTGGTAGGAGTCCAGGAGGACGCCCGAGAGAGAGCAGGAGGCCTCCAGCTTGCCGCTGCCCAGCGCCTGCATCTCCTCATCGCTCAGGTACTGCCCGATGTACTGCTCGTAAAGAAGGGGCTCCCGGCAGCGCATTTGCTCGTCACTGAAGTACTCCCCACCTGCGGGCAACAAGAGAGAAGCAGACATGGGGCTTGTTTCAAGAAGCTTTCCATACTTGGTGTTGTGGAATTTCCTTTTTTTATATAATATAGCTTTATTAATTTAAAATACAGTGGTGCCTCGGGTTACATACGCTTCAGGTTACAGACTCCGCTAACCCAGAAATAGTACCTCGGGTTAAGAACTTTGCTTCAGGATGAGAACAGAAATCATGCTCCGGCGGCGCAGTGGTAGTGGGAGGCCCCATTAGCTAAAGTGGTGCTTCAGGTTAAGAACAGACCACCAGAACGAATTAAGTACGTAACCAGAGGTACCACTGTAATTACATTTATGAAAGAACAGACGTACATACAAGTAAACAAACATACATACAATCAATCAATCAAACAAACAAACAAACAAACAAATAACAGAAGAATCAAACAAACCACCATACTATAAGATACAAGAAGATTAATACAGTGGTACCTCGGGTTACATACGCTTCGGGTTAAAAGGCTCCGCTAACCCAGAAATAGTACCTTGGGTTAAGAACTTTGCTTCAGGATGAGAACAGAAATCACGTGGCGGGAGGCCCCATTAGCTAAAGTGGTACCTCAGGTTAAGAACAGTTTCAGGTTAAGAACAGACCTCCGGAACGAATTAAGTACATAACCAGAGGTACCACTGTATAATTATCATCTTATATACTCCTGGTACTGAACACAATTATAAAACTTATATAGAAGAAATTTAATACTGACTTCCAATTAATCTCACTGTACTTAATCTATCCATTACAGTGGTACCTTGGGTTAAGAACTTAATTCGTTCTGGTGGTCCATTCTTAACCTGAAACTGTTCTTAACCTGAAGCACCACTTTAGCTAATGGGGCCTCCCGCCGCCGCCGCGCGATTTCTGTTCTCATCCTGAAGCAAAGTTCTTAACCCGAGGTACTATTTCTGGGTTAGCGGTGTCTGTAACCTGAAGCGTCTGTAACCTGAAGCGTCTGTAACCCGAGGTACCACTGTACTTTATACCGCACAATTACATATTTCTTATATAATTTCTTTTTACCTCCCTACGAACCTATATTTATACAATACAGGGATCAGTCTAATTCTGCCAAGAGCTGTTGTGGAATTCCCTGTTTTTTGTTGGAAGCCACCCAGAGTCGATGGGGCAACCCACTCTGATTGGCAGGGTATAGGACAACTACAACAACTGCAGGCCAGAGCTCAGGGGATCAAGGCTACTGCAGCCTCCTGTGGGGAGAATGACAACTGGGGCAGAGGGCACCAGGGCCTTCCCACACGCCAGCCCATCATGTGCGGTAAGGGCATGGGAGAGGTCAGGGATCCATTGCTTAACAGGTTTGTGTGACGTACACCCCATCCCCCCTGCAAAATAATGGCCGCCAAAGCATCCATTTCCCCCTTCCACTTTTTTTACTCCTGCAAAACCTTAGAGCAGGGGGGGGAGAGGCTGTGGCCCTCCAGGTCCTGTTGGAATCCCAACTACCATTGGCCCCAGCCAGCATGGCTAGTGGTCAGGGATGATGGGACTTGTAGTCCAACAACATCTGCCATGGATGCTTTAGCTGAGATTCCTGCATTGCAGGGGGTTGGGCTAGATGACCCTCAGGGTCCCTTCCAATTCTACAGTTCTAGGAATATCCGGAGGGCCGATTCCTATTAAAATGTGCTTGTGGGTGGATAACAGCCCGGACTGGAATGGAGCCAGATGCAGCTATGCCAGCAAAAAGACAGTTGAAAAAATATATTACACAATAAAGCTGTATTCGATGGATGAAAGGTTATATGTTTTCTGACATGACTGAGGATCGCAGAGCCAGAGACAAAGAAGTTTGGAGAGTTAAAATCAAGATGTAGAAATATCGACGAGAGGCAGAGTTGAGATTTGGACATGCTTCAAGGTTCAGACTGCGGGAAGTCGTAAAAATTAAAATTACAATTTGGAAGATCATTTGACCTTTTTTATTTTAGTTTCTTTATTGGATTATGATTTGATATGTTAATTGGATGTCTTTTATTGGAAAAATTAATAAAAATGATCTAACAAGAAAAGGTGCTTGTGGGAGAGGGGGTTATGGGTTCCCCTTTTTCTTGTTTCTACTGCATGTTTTTATTTATTTGTTATTTTTATTCTGTGTGAGATCTTCAGATGAAGATATTTCATAAATAATATGACTGATCACAATTCCCCCATCTTCCCTCATGCAGGCTGAGGATGGTGGAAGTTGGGTTTCCCACTCCTGCCTAAGAAGGTATGGGAAGGGGGTCTTCCACTTGGCTCAGAGCAAAGTGTGCCAAGCTCCACGAAAGGCCTCTCCTGGATTTTGGGATGCTGGGTGCAGGACGGGAGCAAAGGCCGAACTCTGGGCCTCAGGGAAGTAGCAGCTCCTCTGAGACGCTCCCTTCTCCCTCTCACAGCTCCTGCCTCAACTTCCCTTGTTTCTCCGCTAGGCTAACATAGATGCTGCCCATCCTCCTGCTCTGCTCTTTGGCAGCCAGGCAACCAAAGGGGGGAGAGAAAGAAGAGGATGAAAGGGTTCCACAGATCAGTGGCCAAACCAGGGATCCTGGCTCTATCTTGCCCACCGCCAACGTCATGCTACTCAAGAGACACTCTAAGCATGAGCACAACTGGGAGAGCTTGTTCAGCAGAGCATGAGCCTCTTCATCTCATGGTTGTGGGTTTGAGCAAAAAGATTCCTGCATTGCAGTGGGCTGGACTAGAGGAGCTCTGTGTTCCCGTCCACAATGCTATGATTCTAATCCATGGGTAGGCAAACTAAGACCCGTGGACTGGATCCAGCCTAATCGCCTTCTAAATCCAGCCCGTGGATGGTCCGGGAATCAGCGTGTTTTTACATGAGTAGAATGTGTGCTTTTATTTAAAATGCATGTCTGGATTATTTGTGGGGCATAGGAATACATTTATATATTTTTTTCAAAATACAGTGGTACCTCGGGTTATGTATGCTTCAGGTTACAGATGCTTCAGGTTACAGATTCCGCTAACCCAGAAATAGTACCTCGGGTTAAGAACTTCAGGATGCTTCAGGATGAGAACAGAAATCGCGCAGCGGTGGCGCGGTGGCAGCGGGAGGCCCCATTAGCTAAAGTGGTACCTCAGTTAAGAACAGTTTCATGTTAAGAACGGATCTCCAGAACGAATTAAGTTCTTAACCTGAGGTACCACTGTATAGTCCGGCCCCCCCACAAGGTCTGAGGGACAGCGGACCGGCCCCCTGCTGAAAAAGTTTGCTGACCCCTGTAATCTAATCCCTTCCAGAATGGAACCAGGATCTGAAGGCCCAGTACCTTGGATGAGCTGCTGCAGGGCTGCGTAGCGCTTGTTCCGCACCCGGGTGTGGCGCGTCTTGCCCAGGCCGGCCCTGCGCACTTCGGCACAGTAGAAGTCTGCCTCGTAGCTGCCAGAGAGGTGGCGGAAGCAAGGCAGGTGTTCCTCTCGCAGGACCGTCCGGAACCGCTCCAGGAACACCAGCGGCTTGCTGTGATACAAATCCCGCAAGATAGCCAGCTTCTGCGCGGGCGTGAAATCCGGCTCGTCCTTCTGCTGGCTCCGCACAGGCAAGCGGCTGTTGGCCACGGCATGGAACATGGCTAGGACAGCAGGGTCATCGTCCTCTGCGGGTCCAGCAGGCGACGAATTGGAGCCAACAGACTCCGGCTTTCCGCCGCCCCAGTGGGGCTGTTTGGTGTCAGAGGCCTCCCCGCCATTAGGGGGCATGTCTTCAGTAGCCATAACCTCTGATTCTCCGCTGCCCTGCTGAGATGGCTTGCTCGGGTTATTTGCAGATGAGGGCCCAGTCTTCAACTCACTCCAGCAGGAGGAAAGAAAGGCACTGATGGCCTCGTGCGTCCCACTAGGAAGGCTGGAACCAGGGTTCCACGAGTGCTCTTCCCGACGACTTCCTGGTGCTTTAGATGCCCCATTCCAGTTCAACGGGGAGCTTTGTGGGTTTGGGACCCCTGACATCTCTTCTCCCCAGAGAGGTCGGCGCAGCGGAGAGCTCTTAGTCACCCTACAGCCACTAGCACCTGAAGCATCTGGCTTCTGTTCCCCCCTGTGGACCATTTGTAAAGCCTCACTGGGAGCACCGCTGTCCTTCGGGAGGCAGTCTGCGGGTGCTAGGATTCCCACCATCTCTTCTGCAGAGTCCAGTGGCTTTGCAGCCTCAATGTTGTCCGGAAGACCGCTTTCAAGCATCCCTCTGTCTGGGCTGCCTTTCTCTACATCAGCTCGGGAGCCGACGACTGGAAAGACAGAGAAATTCCAATTAGTACCAGTGAAACTGCTACCACACATCATTCAGACCCTCCAAGTGTCCCTATTTTCCAGGGACAGTCCCGGATTTACTGAAGCCGTCCTGGTTTCTGATTTGACCCCAGAATGCCCCACTTTTCCTTATGATGTCCCTATTTTCAGCGGAGAAATGTTAGAGGATGTGGAGTTACGCGACCCCCGAGCCAAGGAGATAGGTCACTATACAACCTTTAGAAGACATCTGAAGGCAGCCCTGGAGAAGTTTTTTAACGTTTAATGTTTTGTTTTTTATCTATATGTTGGAAGCCGCCCAGAGTGGCTGGGGCAACCAAGTCAGATGGGCAGAGGTACAAATAATAAAATTACTACCATCATCATTGTCGTTATGATGGAATAGGTCCACAGGGGTAGGCAAACTAAGGCCCGGGGGCCGGATCTGGCCCAATTGCATTCTCAATCCGGCCTGCGGACAGTCCGGGAATCAGCGTGTTTTTACATGAGTAGAATGTGTGCTTTCATTTAAAATGCATCTCCGGGTTTTTGGGGGGCATAGGAATTCGTTCAATTCCCCCCCGCAAATATAGTCAGGCCTCCCAAAAGGTCTGAGGGACAGTGGACCGGCCCCCTGCTGAAAAAGTTTGCTGACCCCTGGAATAGGATGTCCCTGTTTTCATCAGAGAAATGTTGGAGGGCATGCAAGATCACTGAAGGGGGTGAACGGTGTCTTACAGCCCAAGCATTTCATTTCATTGCTATGGCTAGTGGATGATGCAAATAAAGACCCTTCTCTCTCTCTCATAAGGATCGTACAATAAAAAGGATGGCAGCCCAAAGGCTCGTGCACACTGTCGTTTCATGTGGAGAATAAGCTTTCTGCACCTCTGCGAATTCACCTTTGCCCAGACGAAGTTCTCCTCCAAATCACCGCCCTCCCGCACTTTCTCCTCCCTTCTCTCCAGAGACTAGGACTCTCCCCCGCCACTCAGGGAAGAAGAGAAGACAGAAAAGTGGGGAGAAAGAAGAACTGAGGCGGGGGGTGGGGGAATCAGGGAGCAAGAAGAGGAAGGCAAGGGGCGTGGGGGGCCCATTTGAGTGCAACACCGCCTCGTCCTCAGTGCGCTGGAACGGGGGCGCTCACCTGGAGAAGGCGGCTCTGGGGGCTCGGCCCCTCCTGCCTCCATGCCGCGACACCCGTCTCCGATCGCGGGGGAAGGCGAACCGATGCCTAAACACCAGCTAGCGGGAACTTCCGGTTCCGGCGGTGCGCCAGAGAATGGGATCCTCCTCCGCGGCGCCGAGAGGCTTTGGTTCCGGGGAGAATTCCACCCCCCAGGGCGAGGGTTGGAAGCGCATTTAAGGGGAGAAGAACCCTCGCAAAAGCGGGCTGTGTTGTGTTTGTTTGGTTAGGTTAGTTTTGCCCTGCCCATCTGACTGGGTTGTCCCAGCCACTCTGGTCAGCTTTGAAAATAATAATAATATTAATAATACTAATAATAATTTATACTTCACCCAGCTGGCTGGGTTTCCCCAGACACTCTGGGCAGCTCCCAGCAGAATTAATAATTTTTAAAAAGCGATAAAACACCCGACATTAAAAAATTCCCTGAACAGGGCTGCCTTCAGATGTTTTCTACAAGTCAGATAGTATTTATTTCCTTGACATCTGACGGGAGAGCATCCCACAGGGCGGGCACCACCACCGAGAAGGCCCTCTGCCTGGTTCCCTGTAACCTTACTTCTCACAGTGAGGGAGCCGCCAGATGCTTTTGGGTTGCAAGATAAAGCAACTAACAAATTTAATAAATTAAATAAGGGAAGGGGAGCCGCAACTTTTCAAAAAAAAATAATAGGAAATTGAGGAACTATTGGGCTTCAATGCCCCCTGTCAGCAAGACAATTTCTATGGCAGGAAGCTGTGAACGGTCTTAGCTTGGAGGTAGAGCATGTGATTGCATGCAGCAGGTCCCAGGTTTGCCCACTGGCTGGGAAATTATTTCCCTGCCCTGCCGCTGCACTACTAAGATGGGGCAGTGCTGAGAGAACCATATGAGCCAGGGGTGCACTGAGTCTATACTAGAAACCAAGTTTTTAGTGCTGCAGCTCCAGCTCTCTAGAACCAGTTACCAACAAAATCAGGCAGGTGTCGACCTTCGTGATGTTTAGGCACCTACGGAATACATTTTTGTTTCCGAAGGCTTCCTCTGAGGAGTAGGACCCAGCCATTTACAGAATATCAATTTTACATCTGAAGAAACTGTTTTGCTGTTTTGGAGTTTGTAGCGATTTAGTTCATTGAATTGCTTTTATTCTTTTTAGAGCTTGCATTTTTACAGTACAGTTGTACCTTGGAAGTCGAACGAAATACGTTCCGGAAGTCCGTTCAACTTCCGAAACGTTCAGAAACCAAAGCACGGCTTCTGATTGGCTGCAGGAAGCTCCCGCAGCCAATCGGAAGCCCCAGAAGCCTTGTTCAGGTTCCAAAGACCGTTCACAAACCAGAACACTCACTTCTGGGTTTGCAGCGTTTAGGAGCCCAAACGTCCAAGTAACAAGGCATTCGGGATCCAAGGTACAATTGTAGTCTCTTTTTGTCTGGTACAGTGGTACCTCGGGTTAAGTACTTAATTCGTTCCGGAGGTCCGTACTTAACCTGAAACTGTTCTTAACCTGAAGCACCACTTTAGCTAATGGGGCCTCTCACTGCCGCCGCACGATTTCTGTTCTCATCCTGAAGCAAAGTTCTTAACCTGAAGCACTATTTCTGGGTTAGCGGAGTCTGTAACCTGAAGTGTATGTAATCTGAAGCGTATGTAACCCGAGGTACCACTGTATTCCACTTCGGCTTCCTGCTGTGTAGCAATTCATACCTTTGTTTAATAACAGCAGCTCAGGCTATCTAGAATTTTTACCTCTACGTTGTGACTGGAACACAATTGTCCCCAGTGATGTGAGGGGAACTGAAATCACCCGTAACTGCAACACTTCCTCCTTCAGGTGCATCCTTGATTTCATTCTCCATCTCAAGATCACCCTGGGTATTTTGGACAGGAGGGCTGTCATGGACGGATGCAGAGCGATGGTGGGAGGAACCAACTGGGAAACCCCAAAGGAAGCAGGCTCAGAGCCCGGGGAGTGGTGGTGGGACGATGATGAGTGGTCACAGGGAGAAGGGAGGTGTCAGAAACTGGAGAGGTGACAGGGCTTGGTGAGTGAGGAGAGTCTGTGGCAGAGAAAAGTCCAGAATCAGAAGCAGGAGGAGAGAGGCCATGAAGGCAGAGTTGAGTTGGGCTGAAGAAGAAAGACAGGGTTTCTCCCCCTCTTGCTGGAATAAGCTCTCCTTCCCTCCTGGTCTCCCAGAACTAAGAGAGGTATGACGCGGGAGGAGCAAAGACAGACACACCAGTATAGTCTCAGATTGCTTGGGACGGACCCAGGAAAGGAGGCAGCTTAGGCAGCTGTGGGAAGACGGGCACCTTCAGTCTCCACAACTGCCTCATAGGGGCATTACCTGCCAAGAAGAGTTGGTGTGTTCATTAGACTTGGCACTCCCGAGTGGACCTTGTTTCTTCTAATAAAGTCCTTCAACACACGCCAACGCTCCTTCTTTTGATAAGATTTATGGCGTAGCGGTCTTTCAGTCTTCTAGAGAGCCAGTGTGGTGTAGTGGTTAAGAGCAGTAGACTCCTAATCTGGTGAACCGGGTTCGTGTCTCCGCTCCTCCACATGCAGCTGCTGGGTGACCTTGGGCTAGTCACACTTCTTTGAAGTCTCTCAGCCCCACTCACCTCACAGAGTGTTTGTTGTGGGGGAGGAAGAGAAAGGAGAATGTGAGCCGCTTTGAGACTCCTTCGGGTAGTGATAAAGTGGGATATCAAATCCAAACTGCTCCTCCTCCTCCTCTTCTTCTTCTTCTTCCTCCTCTTTCTCTTCTTCTAATAAGTTACTGTTCCATAGTGTTCCAAATTAATGTTCCAAGTCAGCATTCCACAGTTCAAGAAGGACACTGACAAACTGGAACGTGTCCAGAGGAGGGCAACCAAAATGGTCAAAGGCCTGGAAACGATGCCTTATGAGGAACGGCTAAGGGAGCTGGGCATGTTTAGCCTGGAGAAGAGGAGGTTAAGGGGTGATATGATAGCCATGTTCAAAGATATAAAAGGATGTCACATAGAGGAGGGAGAAAGGTTGTTTTCTGCTGCTCCAGAGAAGCGGACACGGAGCAATGGATCCAAACTACAAGAAAGAAGATTCCACCTAAACATTAGGAAGAACTTCCTGACAGTAAGAGCTGTTCAACAGTGGAATTTGCTGCCAAGGAGTGTGGTGGAGTCTCCTTCTTTGGAGGTCTTTAAGCAGAGGCTTGACAACCATATGTCAGGAGTGCTCTGATGGTGTTTCCTGCTTGGCAGGGGGTTGGACTCGATGGCCCTTGTGGTCTCTTCCAACTCTAGGATTCTATGAATTGTGGATTTCCATAGAAAAGCAATGCCGTGAGGTATATTTCACTAATTGTTTGGTGACTGTATAGTTTAGATCCTCCGAGATCGGAGCTCGCTCCCCTGGGCCCTAGGGAAGCCAGCCAAATCCAAGATTCACCCTGCTTTCACATTACACCATATCTTCTAATAAAGAGTTAACGTCACTTGATCTGTGTGATTTATTGCTGACCTGCTCCTGACAGGGACGATATTAAGGCCGGAGAACTATACTATTTGGAGGGTCACTAAGAGCAATTTAGGAATGGGGCCCTAATATTGTCCTCTGACCAAAATATCCAAGGTGATATTGAGATGGAGAATGACATCAATGAGGGACCCCAAATGAGAGACTGCTGCATCAATGGATGACTTCAGTTTAAAAGTTTTTAAATTTAAAGAGAGGAATTCCGTGTGCAGGTTATAGCTTTTAAATGTTTCAGTGAGAAGAGGGGGTGGGGTGTAGGTAACACAAGACACCAAACAAAGATTTAAAGTTCAATATTCACTCTTTTTTTCTTCCAAATACAAAAAGCTGTTACAATTCAACTCAACACAAAGCATGTGCAAAGTTACAGAAACTGAGACATTGTATAAAAAGTTACACATTTAAGATGATTTCCCCCTCTTTTTGTTTTCTTCTCTCCTGTATTGAGCAAAAAGGAATTGTTACCTTGATGAAAATATTAACAGCTGCTGACCCACGGTAAAAAGTTACATAAAAGTCTAAAAAAAAAAGTTCATAATTACCATAAGACAGCCATCTCTTCTCCCTCCAGTTTTAATAGTTATTTGCAGAAAAAGACAAGATAAAAACACCTCAAAGACGGGTGACACTGAACTGCAGGAAGAGTTTCCAAAATGCTTGGAATTTATGATCACTAGCAGACTTGTGCGAGGTGGGGGTGAAGAGAGAGAGGGTGGTGGTAAAATCCTAAGAGGGGCCCCTTGCACAGCTCCACCCACCCACCCAACTACTGTAGAAAGGCTAGTGTGCTAAGGTGGATCTGGGCCTACAAAAATACAAGGATGTAAGGCTGAACATTCTAGCTTTTTCTTTGTCCAGAATCGTTTTTTTAAAAAGGAGAAAAAAGAATTGTCTTCAACAAGGAGAGAAAAGGGATAAATGCAACTTCCTCGTGAGGGATGGTACAAAGGAAAGGAAGCATGCCTCTAGCTGTACAGGTAAAAACGCAGCCACCTTCCGAAACGACAGCAGTCTTCCCCAACTGGGGGAAACCCTCCAGGGGTTTTGGACTACAAGTCCCATCAGCCCCAGCTGATGGGCTGGGGCTGATGGGAGTTGTAGTCTCAAACCCCTGGAGCCCCCCTTCCTCCCACAATAAGTTGAGGAAGGCTAAACTACAGAGAGGAAACATGGGAAGAGGCTCCTTTCCTCCTGGGTTTCCCGAGACAGAAATGCCCACTGCCAAGTTTAAAAACTTGCCAAAAGCGGCGCAGCCAAGCTGCTCGCGCCCCCCCCCTCCGAGGATGGCACGCTGCCATCACTGAGTGCTGGAGCCTCCCTGCGAGGTGCCCGTGTAGCTCCCGTAGTCGTAGCTGCCGTAGTACGGGGGCCACTGGTTCTGGTTCTGGTTCTGATAGTACTGGTTCCACTGCTGGGCGTACTGCAGGGAGAAGGAAGAAGGCTTGTCAATGCAGATATCCTGACACCGGAGAACTGAAAGATTCCAATCCAATGCGCCAACCGGTATTTCTTATGCATGACTTAAAACAGAGGCAGAGAACCCCGGGGTGAATGCAGCCTTCCAAGCCTCTATAGCCAGCCCTCTCTCCCCAGACTGCCCCTCACCCCCTGGTGTGAATCCTGCCAGGGTGCTGTGGCCGTCTGGAATAGATCCTGGAACCATAAAAATGCACTGGTGGGTGTGCAGAAACCTCTGGCTTCTGAATGGCTGGAATACAGCCTTCTGTACAAGGCTAGCAGCCCTCTGCGCCCACTTGCGTTTCTGTCTCTGCCCACCACTGGGATATGTGGAAAAAAGGCCTCCAGGCCCCGATTTAAAATAAATGGGTGGTTGGAGAATCCCTGTCGATGCATCTCAAATTACACAAGGTTGATCTTTCCCTTGCAAGCTCTCTTTTTAAGGAGGGCTGCTAAACGAACCCTTCTCTGCTTAAAGCAGAACCAAAAGGGTATGCTTGCTCCTATGTGTACTCCATCGCTATGGGGTGAGGAACGAGAGGGAAGACTTCCACATTTTAGGGAGCCAAGGTTCTGAGCTGTGCAACCTGTCCAAAGTAAGGCAGATGAAGCACAATTTAATCTGGTTCTGAAAGTTCGGGGGAGGGGGGTATACCAGATACTGCAGCCCACTAGGTAAAAAAAAAAAAAAAAAAGGTAAAGGACCACTGGATTGTTAAGTCCAGACAAAGGCGACTCTGGGGTTGTGGTGCTCATCTCGCTTTCAGGCCGAGGGAGCCGGCGTTTGTCGACAGACAGCTTTCCAGGTCATGTGGCCAGCAGGACAACTGCTTCTGGCGCAACAGAACACAGTGATGGAAGCCAGAGCACATGGAAATGCTGTTTACCTTCCCACCGCAGCAGTACCTATTTATCTACTTGCACTGGTGTGCTTTCAAACTGCTAGGTTGGCAGGAGCTGGGACAGAGCAACGGGCGCTCACTCTGTTGGGGGGATTCAAACTCAGTGGTTTAGACACAGCACCACTTGTATCCCGCTAATCCACCAGGGAACTTATACAAAACTTATACAGAACTATACAAAAGCAGAATTGAGCAGCTTCATCTAAAATATACAGGCCACAGAATTTCTCTTGGCTTAAGTGTGGAGGACTTCCACCACTGCACTAAACACCCCTTGCGCCCATGTTTTTCATTTTCGACCTCTGGGTCCCTCTCTTCTTTCCCACCTCCCAGCCAGGGGTATGGAGCAACATTCCAACATGGCGATTCTGTGAAGCTTCAATAAATGAAATACTTCCTAGCTGAGCAAGAGCTTGGAGCCTCAGGTCTTCCCAGTCCAATACACCTGATGCCACAATGCCCTGAGCAGTTCCCCAGAAACATGAAGGCAACAAATTCATCCCTTCTCCACAATCGGGGTAGGAGCTATAAAATCTGAAACTCCGGCGCCTAACCTGCCTCATTGTTACTATGATCTAACAGCGTTTTCGCCCTGCTCTTTAAGCCAAAAAGGCTCCCAGAGGAGCTTATGGAAGTGAGGCTGCGAGGCCAAGACAGGTAACAGTGCAATCCTATAGATAGCATCACAGAGGTATGCCCCGCTGAGCTGAACGGAACTTGCTCCCAGATTTTCCTTCTCACTCACCTGTTGGTACTGGTTGTAGTTGGGTTGATTGTAGGCTGGTGGGGTGGGGGCTGGGGCTGGGGCTGGGGCCGGAGCTGGTGCAGGCGGGGGCTGGCTGTAGCTTTGGCTGTAACCACTGTAGCTCCCATAGTTGTAGCTAGGGGCATATCCCCCTTGGCTGTAGCTGGATGGGGGGTTGTAGGGCTGGCTGTAGCTCTGCTGCAGAGGGTACAAAGGAATCATTTTACGCATTGTGCTCTACCCATGCAAACACACCAAAAAAACCACAGAGAGAAGCAAGCGAAGACCCAGTGAATGCAGAATACCCTGGGATAAATGACACCCTCCTGTCCCGGAGCTTTCATTATGGGGAAAAGGTTGTTTTCGTTTCAAGGGCTCCGACATTCTTTTTTGCACCTGCAAAATCCACCACCATGGCAGGCACCTCGCTTTAAAAAGTCCCCCACAATACTCTTGACACTGGCACACCCTGTCTGCCCCTTTCCTCCACAGGGCACCACGACACACCTACAAACTTCTTCCATGACAATGTCCAACCCCACCTGAGGAGGGGCTCCCTCCTCACCACGGAAAGCGATTCTAAAACTCTGTTGCTTTCCCAGTTTCGCTACCGTGCCTTCCACCAAAATGCAGTTCTTGAGAAATGCAGCCAGTAAAGTCCCTGCCAAAGCACCCCGAGTTCGCACGCCCAGAACTATGATTCTCAGGGAGGGAACACAAGCCTATTTAAGGCTACCGTCTTAGGCACGGGTAGGCAAATTAAGGCCTGGGGCCTGGATCCGGCCCAATCGCCTTCTAAATCCGGCCCGCGGATGGTCCAGGAACCAGTATGTTTTTACATGAGTAGAATGTGTGCTTTATTTAAAATGCTTCTCTGGGTTATTTGTGGGGCATAAGAATTCATTAATATTTCCCCCCCCCAAAATAAAGTCCAGCCCCCACAACGTCTGAGGGACAGTGGACCGGCCCCCTGCTGAAAAAGTTTGCTGACCTCTGGTCTTAGGTGTACTTACATGGGAGCAAGCCCCACTGAAAACCAATGGCACTTACTTCGAAGTAAACATGCACAGGACTGTGCAGTTAAACTAGACTGGTAGATGGGTCCCACCCGCCCTGGTCTCAGCCACTGTTCCTATGCCTTTTCTTGTGCAGCCCAAAGGACATGCCTGATGCCTGATGCGCTGCTCCTTCCTTGAATCCCCATCAGAGGAGGAGCTGCTAACCTGACAGCAGAAGCTGTCGTGGACTAAGGAGCCTAGAAGCTTGGCCATCCCTTGCACTAGAATGGGGGGGGGGGGGAGCCCCAGCCAGCATGACCAACAGTTGCAGGCGATGGGAGTTGTAGTCCACAGTCTGTGGAGAGGACCACATTGGCTGCCCCTGCCCCAGAGATATGGGGAGGAGAAAATGTCTTGTTTGCGACGGCACAAGCAGAAGAAAAAGGAAGAGGTGCAGACAGTTAACAGCATCAATTAGAGGCTGTTCTAATCAAAAAATTTATACAGAGTGGGAATGCGTCAAGCATTACATGAAAAGAGAGTTGGCTTCGGAGCCTAAAATTAATATGCAATAGTTTAAAGGGCGCAAGGTTATAGGATGTTATTAAAACGAATATGGAGCAACAATTATAAACAGCTGTTAACGCAAGAAAAAACAACAACAGTACGTAAAGTAGATCGCACATGGGTGAAGGGAAGCAACAGGTGTAGGGGGAGGGAGGTGAGGGCATTAACTGAAAAATTGTTAAAGATATATATGGGACCTAAGAGATGAAGGATAAGGAACCAAAAGAAGGAGACAAATATTAAGGAATAGTAAAAAAAGGCAATCTGAGAAGAATCAGTACAAACGAAAATATGAGACTCAAGGTTTTGTTATATACTGTTTTGTCTTGGGTGTGAAGTATTCTGTTGTAAAGATTGTACATAAAATGAATAGAGAAGTATCTTATAGGACAGTTTGGACTGAAGAACTTTCCCCTCCTCCTTTGGCCTCCCCAAGGAAGGTTTCTGTGTTTCCCAAAACAGAAGGCACCCCCCCCCGCCTCACCTGTGGTCCTGGGTTGTAAGTACTGGGAGGTGCAGCTGGGGCCGGGGCGGGCGCAGGGGCGGGGGGCATGTTGCTGCTGCTCTTGTACGTATTCTGGTTTCGCGCCGGGCTGTAGCTGCTCTGCTGCTGGTTGCTCCGATTGTAGTTGCCCCGGTTGTTGTTGTTGCTGTCTCGGTTTCCGCCTCCCCAGCGGTTCTGGTTGTAGCCGCCACCGCCACCACCGCCCCTGTTGAAGCCTGGATGAAGAAGCCACAGGTGGGAGGTCAAGCTAAAGCCAGTATTTTACAGCCCTGCCTTGTGGTGAACGACTGGATCGGGAATATTCTCAAGCAGGCGCCAGAGCTAGCATCCTGCAACAACGTTTACTATTTTCATCATTACAGGATTTATATATCAACCTTAGTCAAAAGATGTCTTTTGTCTTTTTTATATTGTGATTTTATGTTGTGAACTGCCCTGAGATCTACGGGTATAGGGTGATGTAAAAATTTATTTTATTTTATTTTTTCAATCAATCAATCATTCATTCATTCATGGCTCAGAGGTACAGTGAGGGGGGAAAGTATTTGATCCCCTGCTAACTTTCTCTGGCTTTTGTCTTCTGGGTTTCTGGGGGTTTTCCTGTTGTTATTCTGCCTCTCACAGCTGCAATAAACCTACCATTAAAATTATGGACCGGTCATTTCTTCGTCACAGGGCAAACGGGCAAAGTTAGCAGGGGATCAAATACTTTCCACCCCCCTCACTGTATGTCTGCACAGGGACCAGGTTTATGACAAAGGCGAGACCCGAAACAGCGTTCCCGACTCTCAGAATCCTTTTCCGTGTATCTAGCACAGAATAACAAACATTCCCACATGCAACGGGTCCACTGGTGTCAGCTTACCTCCTCCTCCACCGCCGCCGCCGCCACTACCTCTGAACCCTCCTCCACCGCCACCGCCGCCTCCTCCTCGATTCTGGAAGCCACCCCGGTTGCCCATAGGCGGACCTCGGTTCTCGAAGCGCTGAAAGCCACCTCCGCCGCCGCCACCTCCTCCTCCGCCGCCGCCTCCTCCACGGCCACGGAAGCCTCCCCCGCGGTTGTCAAAGCGTTTTTCGGGTGGCGGGCCAGCTTTCTTGCCTTCCTCGTTGTACTGCCTCACCAGCTTCTCCGCTTCGTCCCGCTGCAGCTCGATGTAGACCACCGCGTCCAGGAAGTCGCCGGCTTCTGGCAGCGTGAAGTTGGCTGGCGCAGAGGGAGAAGACAGACACACGCACGCGTCAGTCCCCGGTGGAGAAAAGCCGAGTGGAAGAGGAGAGGGGGGCAAGAGGGAGGGAGCGGGAGCTGCGTCCCGGGGCTCCAGGAGAGAAGAACGGGAGGGAAAAAAGGAACAAGTGGGAAACGCTGAGGAAGCAGAAGCAATAAGCCAAAAGCATTGATGCATAGAATCGTAGAGCTGGGAGGAAACTCGAGGGATATCTAGTGCAAACCCCGGCAATGCAAGAATCCCAACTGAATGGCATGAGAGAGATTAGCTCCTCCCTTCCTGCCAGGCTACAGTCAGGGGGTGCCCCACTGGTCTCGTGCAGAGGATCGCATTGGTGCAGGACCTCATATCTGATTGCATGAGAGAATGAGAAGTTATGCCCCCCCTCCGTCCCACACGCTACTTTATAAACACCCCCTTACATTAATCCAACCTGCTGGGAGTTGGGGAGACCAGCTGCCAGTGCTGCGTGTCTCATCCTTAGAAATTGGAGAGCCAGGATCAAACCTCCCACTTGGCTCAACAGCCCATTTCTGCCTATCTTGCAATACAGGATTGCTGCGAGGATCGGTTTTCCCGTTCCGGGGCAACCATTGAGCAGGGGCTTTACCCATCTGTCCCACAATATTCTCACTGAATATTGCTCCATTGAGATTTTGGCTGCCTTTATGTCAAGGCCTGCTGCACTCTGGCAAAGGCTACCCAGCTACGGTGTAGCAGGAAAAGGTTTTCCACCGGAAAAGCGCCAAATCTTACATTTCTAATCGCACTTCCTTGGGGAGCCGAGTCCCACTGAACATACGGGGACTTGCCTCCAAGAAAATGTGCAAAACCCCTGACCCTGGAGTTCCAGCGATTCAAAGGCAGCAGTTGTGGCGCAGGCTGTCTCATTTGGGGGTTTTGTGTGTGATGGTTTTGACCGATTTTGAAGGGGGTGAGCCTACCAAGATAAACACTGCCTCGAGGCGTGATCTTCCTTCTGCATCTATCCTCTCCCACAGCAGCCGTGTGCGTGGGCATCTGCGGCATCTCTGGGTGGGCAGAGAAGATGAAGCGATAACTATGGGGTAGATAGAGCAGGTGGAAGGGAGCCAAAAGGGAAAGCTGGAAAGATCTAAGGGATCACTTTAAAGAAATCCTCAAACCATGCGCACGGTCATGCTGGGTATCTCCCCTTATCACCTGGGTCCTGCGGAGGAAAGCAATGGGGGTTCCCCCCTCTAGGATCCTACCTTTCATTTCTAACACTGCGTGATCCGGCACATCCTTCCCCTCCTCATCCGTGCGTTTTACTGTTCGATCTTTTAAATCCTCGTCCGTGGGACAAATTACAATAGCCTTGCGCTGGAAACCTTCAAAAGGGCGCATTTTTCGTCTCTGGGCAGATCCATAAACGTTTGTCTGGCAACAGCAAAAAAGAAGAGGCAAAAATAAAATCGGGTCATTACTTGTCAAAGTCTGTTGCGATGTCCGTCAGTGTTTTTAAACGACCCCCCCGCCCACCTATGGATACAGAAGGATGTGTGTGGATCACTGGCTGTGTGTGACACCCGATTGGGAGTCATCCCCTGACTACTAACCTACCTTTAAGGCTTTCCTCCCCAGTTTTAAAGGATAAAAACAGCAATGCACACCAGTAATTTGCAGCCGTTTGCAATTCAAATGAGATCTCCTGGGGTGCCAGGCTAACAGAACAGAGTCTGCTTTGTTCAGGGGGGAAAGGGGGCAATTTACAAGCTAAAAACACAGATTTGGACAGCTTAAACACAAGTGGCAAAAAAGGAGTGTTCGGACCCATCCATTTAGATGTGTTATTTAAGCCTCTGAGGTACAGTCACCCAAGCGCTAGAGTTAATAAAGCCTAGCAGGCTGGTTAAAAAACCCCCACACATTTCAATTCTGACCTCTAGGTCCTTTTGGGTGGGGAGCACACATTAACTGTCCTGCTGAATCAAATCAAAAGGCCCATCTATTCCTAGAGGGGTGAGAGAGCTGAACAAAATTTCACATCTGGCAACCAATGTGCCCCTTTGGTTTCAGGTATTACCTGGGTAGATGAATCTAAAAAGCCCAGGACACAAATTCAAGCAATGTATTTAGTGTTAACTCTGGAAGTGTGTGCTCAATTCCGACCAAACTAAGACCCCCTAAAGCACAACATACACCAGGAAGTTTGGTCTAGTCGAGAATCCAGCATACACTTCCAGAGATAATGCTAAATACATTATTTCTGGTAAATGAGCCACCATAGCTGCCAGAGTCCCAGGCTTTCTAGACTCGCTTACCTATGTAATATCAGGACGCAGGTGGCACTGTGGGTTAAACCACAGAGCCTAGGGCTTGCTTATCAGAAGGTCAGCGGTTTGAATCCCCGCGACGGGGTGAGCTCCCGTTGTTCGGTCCCTGCTCCTGCCAACCTAGCAGTTCGAAAGCACATCAAAGTGCAAGTAGACAAATAGGTACTGCTCTGGCAGGAAGGTAAACGGTGTTTCCGTGCGCTGCTCTGGTTCGCCAGAAGCGGCTTAGTCATGCTGGCCACATGACCTGGAAGCTGTACGCCGGCTCCCTCGGCCAATAAAGCGAGATGAGCGCCGCAACCCCAGAGTCGGCCACGACTGGACCTAATGGTCAGGGGTCCCTTTACCTTTACTACCTATGTATTATCTGAAACCAAAGGGATGCATTGGTTGCCAGACGTGATATACGTTGACATTATTTTCAGCTCCCCTACCCCACTATCCAGCACTGTTTCCAATGATGGCAAACCCCTCCCCCCCGCCAGATGTTTCCAAAAAGTTCACTAGCAGTGGGTGAAGGCGGCAGCCCTCTCCTGTTTGTACCAGAATCTGACACTTAGGGAGGGGCTGAATGCCAACACAGAGGTTTAGTTTAGCTATCGCAGCTAATAGCTGTCAACAGACCTAGCCTCCATGAATATCTCCCATCTCTTTTTGAAGCCACTTGTGAAATGAAATCAAAGCCCTTTATCAAATCCCTTTATCACAAAAGGAGAAAAGGCCACTTGACTGCAGCAGGGTCCTACACAATAAGATTTTTTAAAACTGAGGCTGACCTCCCCAGTGCCTTCTTCTGCCTTAGTGATTTTCATATGAAAGGATTAAACCAGCCTTCCCCAACCTGGTGCCCTATAGATGCTTTGGATTATAACTACCATCAGCCTCAGCACAGGCCAATTTTGATTCCCTTTCTATATATATTTCAGCTACATGGTAGCTATATGGAGTATTACGTATACGTGGCTTTGGGCATCTTTGAACTGCTATCTGTTCAGGAAAGCTTTTAATGTTTGATGTCGTATTGTGTTTTAATTTGCTGGAAGCTGTCCAGAGTGGTTGGGGGAACCCAGTGAGATGGGCGTCATATAAATAATATATTATCAAAATCATCCTCATCCCTATTTTAAACCCAAGCACCATGACAAAGTGCGAGAAGCTGCCGCAGACTGATAAAGTGTAAACTCTAGTACTGTACCACTAGTGAAAGGTGGTTGTTTTTTTTAAAAAAGATTTCTTCGCTGTGCTACTTAGACCACGTTGCTGCTCAGAATTCGAAACAAAGACTAGGGTGGGGAGGCAGAAGCACTTTAACCCAAAGTTTGTCTTCTTCCTTTTAAGCCTGATTTGACCCAACTGTTTGCATGTTGTGCAAAAGCAATGTAGCCATTTGCTTCTCAGAACCAGGCTCTTTGGGGTCTTCCCGAAAGTCACCCACCTGGTTCTCATGCACTTACCTTAGCTTATATTCAGAAGCCCCAAACCCCACAGCTGAACTCCCGTCTTACCTGCATCCATTTTAAAGCAGCCTGCCGTCTTGCTTAATGTGGTTAACAGCTGCTGCTTACTATATAGGTCCGTTTTCATGTGACAGGTTTGGAGGGGAAGAGAGGCAGGGGTACGTGCCTTTAAAATTCCTGGTGCAATACACACACATGTGCACAATGCTTGTTAAACAGCTCCAGCGGTGAATAGAAGACGACCCGTTTGCTGCCCTGCTTGGAGTAGTGGGGCGTCTTCAAAAGACGTGGACAGAGAAACTGCTCAAGGGAAGAATAGCTCCATACCTGATCCAGGATGTAATTTCGCTTCTTCCGTGCCGCAATTTGGATCAGGCGATTCAGGCACTGTGTCGCTTGTTGGATGAGCACGTCCCAGCGGCCAGCGTAGTTGCGTTGGCGTCGGAGTCCCATTACCTGAGGGAAAGCAGGCTGGTTAATATCTCCGGGGCGGCCTCAAATGATTGGGCTCAGCTCTCTGGCTGTTTTGGACTACAACTCCCATAAGCCCTAGCCACTGCAGGACCGGCATGACGTATGCATCACACTCAAATGTTTTGTCCACGAAAGCTTACAGAGTCCCGAAAGGAGAAAAGAGCCATTCAATGGGTCTGGGAGGCTTCTGTTCAAAATCTTGGAAATGGACGGAGTAGCTGTAGACATAGCAATACTTGGCACGCATATAACATATCTGAAATAATGAAAGTGCCCTGCCACTAACTGCAAATGGAATGTAGATGGGGCATTTTTGTGATCGCATACTGCTAGCGTTCCACTGCTTTTTTCTTTTTCTAAAGATATATACTGTACATATATATTAGCTACGATAAATCAGAAAGATCTGATCCGCCTAGCGCGCCCAAGGTCTGACAGCAATACTGTCACTGCAGGAAAAGGAATGAATGATACAATGGGTGTCATGAAATTCTATTCAATAATGATCTAGAGCAGAACTCCAACATATAGTTAGCGGAGTAAAAACTTAAACACGTTGCAGGATTCCCCCCCCCCCAATAGACCAGGGGCAATTAATATTTCATCCAGCAGAGCTTTACTGCTATTGAAGGCAAATGAGCACAATGGTTACATATCCGGTACATTCAGGATTGGCTCTGTCCATAAGAAATCCAGTTGCCGCAGATTTAAATTAAACTTAAAACTTAAAATAACTTATAATAAGTCTAAAGCTTAACACTAAGCATACAGAACACCACACCAGAAGTAAAAGAGAAGTGAAGCCCAGGCTCCTTCTGGCCCTACTTTTATAGTCAGCATGACCTTCACAGAAACAGATGGGAACCAGTTTAAACCTGTACTAGCTTCTCTGAAGGTATAACTCAAACATCACGAACCTTCTTGCTTGTTTCTTTCGCACAGAAAAGCTCCCAGAACCCTCTTGAATTAATAATAATAGGAAAGATCTCTACACATCAGATCAATACTTTCTATACCAAGCAATGCAAACTTACAATGGGAACATGGATATTGATTCTTGCACCAGGAGCCAGGAAACTAAGAAAGGAGTGTAAGGCAAATCACACCAAATGCTGCCCCCTTACCCTCATTTTGTCCATGATGGCGTTTGTTCCCAGAATATTGTATTTCTTGCACGGATTGGCTGCAGCATGCTTAATGGCCCACGTGGTCTTCCCAGCTGCAGGTAACCCGACCATCATTAAAATCTGAAACAAATGCACCAGTCAGCTTAGCACATCACATATAAAAGTGCCCAAGTCAGATCCTAAGAGTGAGCCAACACTCCCACTTTACAAATAAAGGATTGTGTTGTGGAGCTGATGTTAAAACTCAGTACAGTGGTGCCTCGCAAGACGAAATTAATCCGTTCCGCGAGTATCTTCGTCTAGCGGTTTTTTCGTCTTGCGAAGCAACCCTATTAGCGGCTTAGCGGTTTAGCGCTATTAGCGGTTTAGCGGCTATTAAAGGCTTAGCGGCTTAGCTGCTAAAAGGCTATTAAAGGCTTAGCGGCTTAGAAAAAGGGGGGGGAGCGGAAAAAAATCTCAAGACTCGCAAGACATTTTCGTCTTGCGAAGCAAGCCCATAGGGAAATTCGTCCTGCGAAGCGCATTGAAAAACGGAAAACCCTTTCGTCTAGCGGGTTTTCCGTCTTGCGAGGCATTCGTCTTGCGGGGCACCACTGTAGTTTTGTGGTCATGGCTTCACGCAGCACGATGTTCACAGGGCTCCCAACCTTCCCTAACCCAGCTGGAGTTCATTCCAAAAGAAGAAAACTGGGGTTACAGCAGGATCTAGTATCCCAGGAAGATAGGCACCAAACAGCTGTAAAAAAGCACCCAAATAAGAAAAACACTATCAGGATGACAGCTGCATAGAAAGAAAATAAAACTGTATTCCCAGTGCCTTTTTAGAGGTCCCTCCTGTCTCTCTTTACAATTAGTAACACCCACTCAAGGGTGATGGCTGTTTTCAACGCTATAAGGTTTTTAAGATGTCAAGCAGATAAACAACTACACAACTTTCCAAAGACATCCGAAGGCAGCCCTGTATTGGGAAGTTTTCAATGTTTGGCAGTGTTTTTATTATGCTGGAAGCTGCCCACAGTGGCTTGGGCAACCCAGTCAGATTATAAGTTATAAGGAATAAGTTATAAGTAATAAAACCTAAAGTAGCTAGGATTCTGCTCATCTCTGAATGCCCCTAAAAATAACAATAATAAAAGCTGAGAAAGCTGAGACGGAAGAGACCAATCTCCCCCCAACTTCCTTTACGCTAGGCCAGGGGTTGTCAACCTGGTCCCTACCACCCACTAGTGGGCGTTTCAGGATTCTAGGTGGGCGTTAGGGGGTTCTACAGCACAAGTTGAATCTTCCTTCCATCGAGCACTGGTGGGCGGTAAGCAAATTTTACCATCAAGAAAGATGCATTAGTGGGCGGTAGGTATAAAAAGGTTGACTACCCCTGTGCTAGGCTGAACATCTGGCTCATTCAACACTGTTTGCAAGGAAAGGCTCCGTTCATGTGATCCGTCAACTTGCGTGAGCAGGGAAATGAGTTCAAAAGAACAGGCCACAATTTCTGTGCATGGGAGCCTGGCTTTCAGGCGCCACCTACCTCACATTCCGTTTTGCTCTTTGGTCCAATTGTCCCCCGAACCCGCTCTGACAAGGGAAGATGCTGGATAAAGGTGAACCCAGGCGGGACTTGGAAGAAGGCATCCTCCCTCTGGCCGAAGTTGAACTCGATGGCGCAGTTCTTCACCAGGACGTGAGGAAAGAGTGCCTGGCCGCCCAATGCCTCCTTCCGCAGCCGGTAGGCCACCCCTAGCCATTTCCCGTTCTTCATGTAAGACATTTCGACATCGTCGCCACACTCAAAGTCCTAAGACCAAGGAAGGAATTAGAAGCCAGTGCACGACCTCCAAAGCAATAAACTGTAGCTGTTGCCCATTGCAGCACAGGTGCTAGCTTGTGGCTCTCTGGGTGCTGCTGAACTACAACTCCCAACATCCCTTGCCAGTGGCCGTGCTGACTGGGGCTGATGGGAATGGTGCCAGTGCACTATGCCAGTCATCTGGGGTTCCTTTTTCAGTCAGCAGAATCACCCAAAGACTCTTCCAGAATCTTCTTTCTCAGTTCAGCTCAGCTGTTGGTGAATTCCCATTTGGGAAGAAACACCTCACTGATTCTAGTTTGACTTAAATAATTAACATTACAACTTATACAACTACTGGTCTAAGGATAACAACAACAACAATTTATTATTTATACCCCACCCATCTGGCTGGGTTCCCCCAGCCACTCTGGGCGGCTTCCAACGAAATATTAAAATACAATACTCCGTCAAACATTAAAAGCTTCCCTAAACAGGGATGCCTTCTAATGTCTTCTAAAAGTCTGGTAATTGTTTTTCTCTTTGACATCTGGTGGGAGGGTGTTCCACAGGGCGGGCGCCACTACCAAGAAGGCCCTCTGCCTAGTTCCCTGTAACTTGGCTTCTCGTAGCGAGGGAACCGCCAGAAGGCCCTCGGCGCTGGACCTCAGTGTCCAGGCAGAATGATGGGGGTGGAGACGCTCCTTCAAGCATACTGGACCGAGGTTTTTTAGGGCTTTAAAGGTCAGCACCAACACTTTGAATTGTGCTCGGAAAAGTAAAACTGTGTTTAGTGAAATATTCCTCCTCTCTTTTCTTCAGGCATCTGGGTAGAGTAACAACCCAACCCCAATCTCTCCTTCAGAACATGTCTAAAAAAAAAGTATGTTGCTAAAGAAACCTTGTTATTGGGGGAAAACTTGTTGCTGGGGCAAAACTATGCAAGGATCACTTCAAGCTTATTTTTAGACCACACTAAAAACCTGTACCTCAGCAGCACTTGGGAGGACCATAAGTTAGCCACCCTTGACCTAAATATTTGGTGTTCTCCCTTTCCGCAGTGTTAGAATTGTCAACCCATGCAAACAATGACGGCTTCAGCATTGCCCCCCATGACATGCGCTCTGATCACATGCGCATTTGAACAATTTGATTGCATCTGGGACATTACGCATCTGCGCAAGAGGCGGAAACGTAACTTCCAAGGGACCACAAGCCACACTCACCACGAGGCAGGTGATGATGTCGTTCTCCGCAAAAGTTTCCCCGTAATTTTCAAACCTGCTGTTGGTGGATTTCTTCCCTGTGCCACCATAGCCATAGGAGTGAAGCTCTTCACCTAGCAAGACAAAAGAAGTCAGCAGAAACATAAATGCAGTGTTGTCTACAAAGAGACATGGAGATTCTTTATCATGGCAGCCTGCTGACCAGACATGATCCTGTTCACCCCAGGACTCCTCCTTCAGAAACGGCATGCTGCTTTTTGAGCTTCTCACATCATTTCTTTGACTACCTCAAGAGGGGCTGGAGAAGTACTCTTCTAAGATGGCACTTGTCTGTGGGAACCGTAGTAACTTTTCATTTAAGGATTTAAAAAAAACAGGTTTTTGTTTTGTTTTTTTGCTGCCTGATTTAAAAAGGTGCCTGTGGTGTTCATACGGAGCCCCTGGTCCTTTCACGAACTATTGAACCGTACACCACTAATCTGGTGCCACCAACCAGGTTCTCCCCGGTAAAACACTAAGTCTCAGTCAGGTTCTCAAGTTAACAACGAAGATTGCAGTTTATTGCAAACACAAATAAACTTTAAATGCATTCAAAACGCTGTTACCTTTTACCCTCTTAGTCTCATTTTATCCTGTCTCTAACTCTCCTACCTCCCCTCACACAAGAACCAACTGCACTAACTGTCTCTGTATTTCCATCTGTCTTCCAACTGCTTTTTCAACTGCTTTCCCCCCCCCCCCAACGGCTTTTTCCCAACTGTCTAAACCTCTGGCTAAGCCTTTTAAAAACAAGTAGGCTCCGCCTCTGGGCTTTTCTACTGGTCTACCTATTAACCCTTTCTCTCCCCCTGTACAGTGGTACCTCAGGTTACATACGCTTCAGGTTACATACGCTTCAGGTTACATACGCTTCAAATTACACACTCCGCTAACCCATAAATAGTACTTCAGGTTAAGAACTTTGCTACAGGATAAGAACAGAAATTGGGCTCCGGCGGCGCGGCAGCAGCAGGAGGCCCCATTAGCTAAAGTGGTACTTCAGGTTAAGAACAGTTTCAGGTTAAGAACGGACCTCCGGAACGAATTAAGTACTTAACCTGACGTACCACTGTACAGACATTTCCAAAAGAACGGGCAAACGCCACAGTGCCCGTGGATAATAATTAATGTAGCCAACTGACTATAGTTGGGAAATGATGTTTAAGAGTTGGGTGCACGTCCTGAGCTCTGGCTCCATGTTCAGCAGCTGCAAGGTCTCTCTTACCTAACTGGGTGCTGCAAGAATCCAGCGACCACCCGACACGCACCACGTGAGGATCGGGCTCGGTTGGAGGAAGATGCTTGACAGATATCTCTTCGTTAATCTGAGGACAAAAGGACAGGGATCCCAGTCATGAGACATCTTGAAGTCACAGCTTTCCACTTGAGAACAGGGATGGATTTCTAGAGACAGAGAGTTTGCTCTACACACTTCAACGTGTGTTTATGGAGAGCAGCTCAAAGAATGGGCGAAGGCAGCAATCTGGGGATGCAGACTTACTGCAAAGGGTTTGCCGCTGTTTCAAAGCAAGGCTATTTTAATGAGAGGTTTGTGAGTGAGCCCAAGGTACGAACCCAGAGCGAATTCTAGCTGGAACTGTTAATGACACCGAGGAAACTTTTAGCTGTCAGAATTGCAAATACAGTGGAACCTCGGTTTTTTAACGTAATCGGTTCCGGAAGACCGTTCGACTTCCGAAACATTCAAAAACCAAGGCGCAATGGGCGGTTGGTAAAATCCATTGAGAAAATTGAAAAACACGCAGCGGAAGCTGTTCCACTTCCGAGGCACGTTCGAAAATGGAAGCAATTACTTCCAGGTTTTCAGCATTCAGCTTCCAAGATGCTCGAAAACCAAGGTTCCACTGTACGTAAAAATAAAATGAACGTTTTTGCAAAATTTTGGGTGGCAAGGGGGTGGGGAGTAGACGTGCAGCAGAATCAAGGAAATTGAGCCCCTATGAGTTGCCCCAGTATTATTTAAAGCACAACACCAGTGGGTATCAATACTCACAAGCCTGCCTGTCTTCATCCATGCAGCAACCCCCCCCCCCCCGAGCAACTCTAGAACCAAAAAGCAGGCTCCCTTACCTTCATTTCGTAACAGACCCTCCCTCGCCTTGCCCCGTAGGTGGCTCGGGCACCTGACCACAGGAAAGCGAACCCTTCTATGGTCAGAGGGTAGCCGCTGTATCGGTCACGGGCAACTTTGAAATGCAGGTCGCAATTATCTGGAAGGCAAAGCCAAAGGAGAAGTCAGAAGCACACACCAGTGGCTGCTACCACCCTCCAACACCCCTTTTTTCCAGTGGACGTTGAGAAGTTCAGACAAGAGAGAGGCTTTGAGCGATGGCACGCTGCTACCACCCAGGAAACTCACACGTATCAATGGCCACCAGCGACTCATCAAAGTCCTCTTCGTCATCTTCAGCAGGCGGCTGAGGAGATCGGCCCCTGGAAAAGAGTGACAGCAAATGCAGGTCCCATAAACCCATTTCATGGGCTCAAGACACAATCTGCAAGGGAAGCTCGCATGGAGCACGCATTGACAAGTGCACAGCAACTGGTTCCCACCCTGGGTCACCAAAGGCACTGCTAAAAACAAATTCTGGATCATCAGATTCCTTTAACAAACCTCAATAAATTATACCTCCACAACTACAAGCCCCTGTGGTGCCAAATAAACAAAGACCTAAAGAGATGGAACAACATGAATTTCACTCTCTTAGACAAAATAGCCATGATCTAAATGATCACTCTCCCAAAACTAACCTACCTATTCCAAACCCTCCCAATCTGGATTCCCCAAATCCAACTCCGCAGATGGCAGAGAAAACTACACTCCTTTATCAGATTGCTTTAACAATTACCACTGACCCATGATCAATGTGTTTACATATAATCAGGATTTACATCCAACTCAGATACTCCATAGATTAATTTTAAGCATCATTTCCACTTCAGCATTTAAGAGGTATCAGTCAAGAAGCAGCCACTCTTAAAATCCTACTTTTCAAAATGTTGTAAATTCTGCCAGATATACAACATCCCTTGAGAGTAACTCAAATCCACAAAGTTTAAAGAATGCACTTCCCAGACTGAGAGATGCAATATCTGCTTCAATCTCAATGGCACCCATGGGTTAATTTCCACCTTGTTGCTGCTGCCCGTAAAGACTTGCCTGAACGCACCTCTTATCATCTCGGTGTTCGTAATATCCGCGCCCCCGGGACTCCTCAGCTGGCCTCTTGCGGCCTTGCTGCTGCTGCTGCCAGGGCTGGGATGAGTCGGAAGAGCCGTAATTGGAAGGGGGTGCATTGTAGCCAGAAACTGAAGTGTTGTAGTTAGACGCAGGTCCCGAGGAAGGTGCATTGTAACCAGAAGCTGGCATGTTATAGCCAGGGGTTGGCTCCTCTTGCTTCACTTCTGTCTTCATTTCTACACTCAAACAAAACGTAACGCATTTAATTGGGAAAGGAAGCCTTTATTCTGAGGTCACAAGTTATGGGCATGGAAGGAAGTGCTATTACTGCCATTGGGACTTGCAAGGCAGAACCAAAGCCACCAATCCCCTAGATCAGTGGTGTCCAGACTTTTTCCAAAGAGGGCCAGATTTGATGAAGTAGGGGCCGACCAAAGGGCCAACCAAAGTTGTTAAGCTTTTAGGATTGAAGTTGGGGTTTTTTGGATTTTACCCCAGGGAATAAACTGCCACTGGGGCCGGATTAAACTGAACAGAGGGCCGGATTAGGCCCCCGAAACGGACTTAGGACATGCGTGCCCTAGATAAAACAACCCACCCACTTCCCATGTTATGTACTGAAGTTCTGTTACACTCCAACATCACAGCAGAACACGGGACATGAATAAGTTAACTGAGCGGTGGATATGCAAACAAGAGGGCAGTTCAGCTCTGTGAATTCTCTGGGGACAAAAATCCACAGAATGGAGTCTGGGGCGTCGCTGAAAGGGGTGGGGAGATCTGCCCCTCACGAAAACAGCGCATTATGTGGCAGAAGAGGCAGGCGCAGCACCACCAGAAGCAGTGGACTTCAAATGCAACCATTTACTGTACCCCAAATAAACAAATTGCTACCTTTCACTTACCCGGGGGGCAAGTGAAGGGAGAAGACGGATTTTTAAAAATCGGGCATTGACAGTTGGTGTCTCGGGCTACACTGGCAGGGACTCTTATCACGAGAGACCAATGTGTGGCTGTATATATGGAGATGTTCTGTGATCCCTATAGTGTCTCAAGGGCATTCATGTCCACCATAAGGCTGTGCACTTCACCAGCCAATATGAAATACCGCTCTGGGCGCCTTCCTCCACCACCAAAAGTAAATACACAAGTTATATATAAAAAGGGAACATCCCAGCTGCTATTGAAAACTTTTGCACCAGGTCGATGGGGTGCTACCTATACAATTACGATGATCAGCACGTGACAAAAGGTCTGGGGTTGTTGTTGTTTTTAAAACACCGGACTGTACCTGAATGTAAGCCAGAATGATCTTGGTCTATAGGTCCCCTCTCGTACCCAGATTCGTTCTCCTGTTTAACGCTGAAGTGCTCGTATGGCTGGTGGTATCCTTGCATGTTGTCCTGATGAGTGTTGTCGTGGGTGCCATCTTGAAATGGGAAAGGCAAGAACATAGGTCAGGACTGCTATTCCATTCTATGCCCAGCTTTGAAAAAACAACGGGGAGGTTGGAAACATGTGTGCCAGTGTTTCTTGACTGCTAGATGAAGGCTGGAGTGGCGGTCTAGGCTCAGCAAGGCCAACCAACACATACAAAATGGGTGAGGTTTCAGTGGATAGCAGGGTTTCCCATACGGGTTGATATTGACCCCGCCTGGGATTGGTGGGACTGGGCAAGGGGCAAATAAAGACCATGTGGTTGAAAGGGCCACGGGGTGGAAAAGTTTACAATTGTGCAAAAGGTTTAATCAGGAGCTATGAGTCTCAGAAATACAGAGCATGAGCACATACAGTGGTACCTTGGTTTAAGAACAGCTTAGTTTATGAACAACTTGGATTAAGAACGCTGCAAACCCGGAAGTAGGTGTTTCGGTTTGTGAACTTTGCCTTGAAAGCAGAACACGTTTCGCTTCCTGTTGAGTTTGTTCCATTTGTAAACTGAGTCTCCCACTGCTATGGGAAAGCGCGCCTTCATTTAAGAATGCTTTGGTTTAAGAACAGACTTCCAGAACGGATTAAGCCCGTAAACCAAGGTACCACTGTACATATTTCACATTCCTTGTCAACAAGGAACCTCTACATTTAATAAGACATATTAGTTTCACTTGTTTTACTTCCTTCTCATATATATATATATATATATATATATATAACATTTCACAATTGTTAAAGGTGACTGAGGATTGATAAATGTTGATCATATTTACACATCTTCCTTGACTTTCATTTATATTCCTACAAATTTTGGTTGGGGTTGCTGACAACTTCATACGCTCATCAAGGGATCAATGAACTCAGGAGTTTGAGAAATGCCAATTATAGATCATCAGCAGAATGAAGCAGCTGAAGATAACTGGAGTGTAACCATTTCAGGATGCAGGCAGCAAGTGGGATTTATGTCTGAAAGTCCCTCCTGGGAAAGAAAACCACTTTACGTAATTTGTTTGCTGCATGGCGAATTGTAAATGTCAGGGAACAAGCAGGTGTTGAGTCTCCCCTTCTCCCACACATACGGCTTTTCTACAGGAGGCGAATTTTACTTCTCTCTAAAAAGGAGCTTTCAAGCCCCTAGCCTGGAAAAGCATCACTGCATGATTTTGCCACATGCATACAGGGTTTTTGAGAAAGGAAGAAAAGCCATACAAAACACCATACAAAACAATTGCGCTTCATGCAGGGGAAGCTCCCATATTTCAGTCCGAAGTGCACAAACGCAGGGGCACCAAGTTTCATATCCCTGCTGCATATTCAGCCACTTTTACAAGGGATTGATAATTTCTCATCACAGCACTTCCTCTGCCTGTCGCAACCCCCAGAACTCATATTTCACAATATACAGTGGTACCTCGGGTTACATACGCTTCAGGTTACACACTCCACTAACCCAGAAATAGTGCTTCAGGTTAAGAACTTTGCTTCAGGATAAGAACAGAAATTGGGCTCCAGCGGCGCAGCAGCTGCAGGAGGCCCCATTAGCTAAAGTGGTGCTTCAGGTTAAGAACAGACCTCCGGAACGAATTAAGTACTTAACCCGAGGTACCACTGTACTCATTGATCACATGAATATATACTCATAAAACTCCAAGTGGAAGTCAGACCAGACTCCAAGATTAACGAGTTCACTGAAAAATCTTCTCATTTGTGCTATACAAACTGACACAACTACAATTAAGGAAGATAGGACTTCCTATTTAGAGATTACAAGATGACAAACCATGGTACCAATCATGCCTGGGTTGGGATGTTTGCAAACATGACAGCAAGGCAAACTGCTTGCCGTCCTATTATCCTAGGCAAGAGCATTACAGTCATACCTCGGGATAAATTTGCTTCAAGTTAAGTATTTTTGGGTTTTGCTCCACGGCGACCCGGAAGCAAAGGAGCGCGTTACTTCCGGGTTTCGCCGCGCACACATGCGCAGACGGTCAAAATGACATCACGCGCATGCGCGAAAGTGGCAAAACGCGACCTGTGCACGCGCAGATTGCGTTCGCTTCAGGATGCGAACGGGGCTCTGAATGGATCCTGTTCGCATCCCAAGGTACCACTGTATTTGAGAGGATGGAGGGGGTGAGGAAGGCCACTGCTGAATCCCCAGACACTCTCTTTTCAAAGCAGCATACTACCTGGTAACTCAACTGAACTGGAATTGCCCTACCAGAAGAATCATCAACAGCACATAGCATTTCTGTAGTAAATTTTACAGTGGTACCTTGCCTCTCAAACAACTTGGAACCCAAACACTGCAAACCTGTAAGTATTACGGTTTGTGAACTTTTGTCGGAAGCTGAACGTGCTCCGTTTTGAGTGCCACACTTCCGTTTTGACTGTTACACTGAGGTCCGTCTGTTTTTGTTATTTATTTTCCATTTTTGTTTATGCGGCTTTTTGTTTTGTTTTTGTGACTTTATGGAACCCAGTTCTGCTACTGATTGATTGATTGTGTGACTGTAGTACACTACATTGTTTATTGCTTTCATTTTATGGATCAATAGTCTCATTAGATAGTAAAATTCATGTTATGTTGCTGTTTTAGGGGTTGATTTTAAAAGTCTGGAACAAATTAATCCATTTTGTGTTACTTTCTATGGGAAAGCACACCTTGGTTTTGGAACAAACATCCGGAACGGATTATGTTTGAGAACCAAGGTACCACTGTATTAACACAAAGCACCCTTGATACATCAGGGCCCAAGGTCTGTCTACTCCAGCATCAAAGTGGCCACCCAAATGCACTCAGGTTCTGCTTGTGGGCATCTCATAGGCAACAACGCTCTCCCTGCTTGCAATTGGCATTCAGGGGCATGCTGCCACTAAGAACAGAGGGAGTACACAGCCACCATCCCTGCAAATTTCCTCCAGCCACGTGACACCCGTTTGTTCCCAGATTTAGACACAGCAGACATTAGACAACTTAGGTGAAACCTAGAACTGGCACAGGAGCCAGGTGTCAGCAAACCAGCATCCTGGCTTTTCCACAATTCATTACAGGTAGTACCACCTCTCTCCAGAGACAAGACTCATCTGCGATTCTCATGGGGAAATAACAACACGGGCTCACAGCCCCGAGGCCACTCTCACAGGAGTACTAAGCACGGCTGCAGCTCAGCTGTTACAGCATCTGCCCTGAATGCAGATGGTGCCAAGTTGAACCCCCAGCAGCATCTTCAGACAGGAAGTTGGAGAGACATTGGTCTGGAACCATGGAGAGCCGCTGTCAGTCAGCACAGACAATACTAAGCTAGGTGGACCGTGGGTCTGGCTCAGGATAAAGCACCTCGCTATGTCCAAGTGGACAGCTCAGTTGGTTAGATTGTGGTACTGATAACGCCAAGGTTGCAGGTTCGATCCCTGTATGGGAAAACTGCATATTCCTGCATTGCAGGGGGTTGGACTAGAATCAGGCATGTCCAACTCCCAAGAGACTATGATCTACTCCCAGTATAAAAAAACTGGCAGTGATCTACCCATTGTGCAAAGATCTACCATTCTACCCATTGTCATTGGAGGGAGGAGGAGCATGCGTGGAGTGGGTGGATTGCCCAGAGCTGAGGTTTTTTTAGGAGTGAAGTGCCCAGAGTTGTTTGACCTTTTGGGGGGGAGGATTGCACAGTTTTTTAGCTCCACCCCCCGTAACTTTTTGTATGTGATAAGGATCAGCTGGGAATCTACCAGGATCAGCTGGGAATCTACCAGTAGATCATGATCTACTGGTTGGACATCCCTGGGCAAGGTGATCCTCAGGGTCACTTCCACCTCTACAATTCTATGATTCTATATCCTCCAGCCTGGAGCTCCTCCAGGAGACTCCGAAGTCCCCTCAAGCATGGAGCAGCTGCACCAGGGAGGCTCACGCCTGCTGGACACTGTCTCACGATGAACTATGCTAAAAAGGCACAGAGCTGCGCCGGGCAAGGAGAATAAAGGGAACCAGAAAGCAGAGTGGCACCGTGCATGTCTGTGCTGCGAGACAAGAAAAGCCCTGCAGCAGAGCTCCACCAAGTCGCCAGTCCTTAGGCTGAACTCCGAGATCGAAGCGGGACCCCAGATCGACGCTGCACAGGGAAGCCCACGTGGATTTCCTAGGCAGCGGATGCAAAGAGCTGCATCGGGAGACCCCCATGCCTCTCCCGGGAAAGGAGAGAAACGGGTGCAGCGGCTCCCAAGCGCGGATCTGCAACAGGAGGCCTGCCGTCCCCAGAGCGGAGCTGCACCGGGAGACCCCCGTGCCTTTCTCGGGCAAGGAGAGAAACGGGTGCAGCGGATCCCCGGTGCGTAGCTGTACGGGGAGGCCCACGTGCATTTCCTAGGCAGCGGATGCACCGAGCTGCACCAGGAAGACCACATGCCTGCCCCGGGGAAGGAGAGAAACGGGTGCAGCGGATCCCCAGCGCGGATCTGCAACAGGAGGCCTGCCGTCCCCAGCTCGGAGCTGCACCGGGAGACCCCCGTGCCTCTCCCGGGGAAGGAGAGAAACAGATGGACCGGGTCCCCAGCGCGGAGCTGCACGAGGAGCCCCCCATGCCTCTCCCCGGGAGCGCAGGCGCCGATCCCCCAGCTTGGCGCTCCCCAGCGGCGAGGCTCCCGCTCCTTCCCGGCCGCTTACAATGTCCGTCCGGCAGCTGCTCCTGCTGGTCGGCGCCCGCTCCCGGCGCTCCTCCGCGGGCCTCCTCGGCTTCCAGCGCCGCCTGCAGCCGCTCGGCCAGCTCCGCCTTCAGCCCGCGGGTGTCGAGGCCCCTCCGGCCCAGCTCCTCCTTCAGCTCGTTGACGCGCAGCTTCCGCACATCCATATCCCCCCCCCCCCGCTCAAGCCCCGCCGCGGGGTCGCGGTTGCCCGGCCATCGGCGCTCCGTTCCGGGCTCGGCTCAAAATGGCCGCCGCCGCCCTCCTCCCCTCTCAGCGCCCCGCCAGCCATGCGCCGGCCTCTCCGGTTGGCCGGCCGCCGGAGGGAGGGATGAGAGGCGCCCGCTGATTGGGCCGCGCCTTCCCTACCTCTGCCTCCTCCTCCCTTTTCCCTCCGTCTCCCGCTCGTTCTGCCGCTTGTGGAAGAGGCCCGCCCATTGGACACGGGAGCGAGCCCGTCTACAAAGAGCTTCTTTATTGGCTAACGGTGGCTCGTCCCCTCACATCCCCTGCTGTAGGTAAAACTAGTCGGAGGAGGGGAAAGGACTGATTGACGAATGAGGGAGGTTGGACCAACTTCTCGAAGACCAATCAAGAGTCCTCTTCACTTCTGAGTTCTCATTGGTTGGAGTACGGATTTGTTTGTTTGTGGAGGGATTTTTCTTACTTTTCCTATTGGCTGAGCTCTCGAGGGGCTTTATTCTTGCCCACGAATAGCCGTCATCAAGATATTCCTTGCGGGTTGCATTTGTGTCTCGAGTTCCCATTGGCTGAGTTCTTGGCGGGAGGCATTTCTCTGGGTGTGTCTTTCTTATTGCCTGAGGCTTGGGAAGCGCCTTCTTGCGGATTGTTATTTCACGTCTGAATTTAATTCGTGCTCCCACCGTGACCCGCTTTCCCCTTTAGTCGGGGGAAGGCGTGTTACGTAACATTTCAGTGAAAACAAATAAAGTTATATAAGCACCTCACACCACGACAACATCGGATGACGTAATCGTAATGTCATCCTATGACATCACCATAATAACATGATGTGGAATAATGAACATCAGATTGTAGAAGCACAAATGCTTCCCCTCCCAAATAGCACCAGGAAAATCGCTATATATTTTCTGGTTCTGCTTCTGTGCCTTCAATTTTATGTCCCATAAAAATTCCATCCAATATTTTCCCCTCTCCCATTTAATTCAGATTTACTGTTTCTGCGTTGGTTCTTTTCTTATTCATTTTAAATGGGCAACATAACGGGTATTTTGATTAGAATGGCACATCGTACAGACGTTGAGCAAAACTGGCATGTGTGACCCATTTCCAATAAATTAGCCACACAGAAGCTGCTCCAAGACAAAAAGTTTTGCCTGTTTTTCCAGCACGTTTGCTTGGAAGCAATACAGAATATCGCTTTATTGCTCTCATACTCCAGTGGATGAGACAGATGGGAAGGACTACATTTAAGCAGGACTTCTCTCCTGCGTATTTGGGTGATTATGAGATATGAAAGACCCAACTCCTTCAGACATTAGTACACTTAGATCTGAAGTATGTAATAACTGCAGTTAAATAACTGCAGTGTCTCCCTGCATATTTAACTTATATGCAGAATTCATCATGCGAAAGGCTGGGCTGGATGAATCCCAAACTGGAATTAAGATTGCCGGAAGAAATATCAACAACCTCAGATATGCAGATGACACAACCTTGATGGCAGAAAGTGAGGAGGAATTGAAGAACCCTTTAATGAGGGTCAAAGAGGAGAGCGCAAAATATGGTCTGAAGCTCAACATCAAAAAAACGAAGATCATGGCCACTGGGCCCATCACCTCCTGGCAAATAGAAGGGGAAGAAATGGAGGCAGTGAGAGATTTTACTTTCTTGGGCTCCATGATCACTGCAGATGGTGACAGCAGTCACAAAATTAATTATTTTTTTTAAAGATATTTATTGAAATTTTCAAAGTGTTACAAAAAATAAAAAATAAAATAGAAGCAGAAGAAAGTACAAATAAAAATAGTTGACAAAGTAGAAAAAGAAAAAGAAAAAACAAACCCCTTCCCACCATATGAGTAAAAATTCAAAATAAAGAAAAAAAAGTGACAGAAAAAAAGAAAAATACAAAAATACATCACAAACCGTTAAAAACATTTAAAAACAAATTCATTATTTTCAAATCCTTAACTGTCTTTGCCTTCTTTCTTAGACCTCCTCCTCCTCCCTTTCTTTGTATCCTAGTTATTAATTATCCCAGCAAATCCTTTCCATGTTTCATAATAATATTCTGTCATTACATTACCCTAAACTGTTTTAATCTTATCTTTCTATAAAATAAACCTTAAAGCTTAAAACTTAAATCTTATCCTTACCAACTTCTCATAACCATAATATTCTTTCATAATTCTTTAAACATCTTTGCTAAAGCCAAGTAATTTCATTCCAACATTTTTCTAACATTCATCAATTTTATAAAACAGTTCTAATGGTGGAGAAAAGAGATACAAACAAATCCAATCTTCATCCAACGTCCCTTCCTCCTGGTTCCGGGTTTTGTCAGTCCTTATTATCCCGTCGATCTAGCCCATTAACCTGGCAACCTTATATCCGAGGCCCTCAAGTCTCTTCCATGTCCCTTCCGCAGCTCTTTTTCATATTTGTAACTGTATTTTCCCTTGTCTCCTGCTCGTGGTAACTCCAGCTTGACAATGTTCTTAACCCTTCTCGACAGATCAGCCCCTTTTCCATATTCAACACTGAATTCCATGTAGTATTTAAAAGCATGTTTCAAAGACCCTCCAAAATTAAGAGCCCCCACAAACCCAAACATCTCACGGCCCATTGCCATATTTGAAAAGTCCAAACGTCCCAGCATAGGGGGGTCAATCCAGCCCCCCATTTCCAAGCCAAACCAAACTTTTCCTTTCCAAATCTGGCTTTTTCCAAGTTCATTTGTCAAATCCGAAAACTCATATTCCTGTTGGGCCTGTTCTGTCAAGACACACTCCTGATTTAATTCCTGAGTGGGCTCCACATATTTTCCCACTGTCTGTTCAAAATTTCCCACTGCCTGTTCAAAATTTCTAGTCGAAGTCGCCATCCAATTCACCTTCTCGTGTAATTGTTCCAGTAGGGCATTTGTTTTATAGAGAGCACACAACAAAGCTTCTGAATACATTGTCCTGCAAGGTCAGATGCCTGTTCCCACGGTTGTAATCTGTAACAGCTGCCGGCTCCCTGGAGTTGGTTACAGTTTCACAGACTCCCTCTAGGGGGAAAACTTCTATTTGTTCTTGCAACAAAGTTTCCCTTTTTGAGATACTTTGTCAATATATATTCCTTTAAAATGCGAAGGGGAACAGTGGAATCACTATGTTTCTCTTCTTTTAGCTATCTGTCAAAAACACTTGTCTTTGGTCAATGAACTTCAAACGTCAGTCCTGACACCCCGCTCCAGGATCAGGACGGAGGAAAGTTACTTTACTTTAAAGTCACTTTAAACAGTCCAAAAAGACCCCCCCCTTCTCCTGCTGTCAAAGGGGGGGTTCCACAATTTTAAATGGTGAAATCCAATCCTTTAAAGACGATTTTCTGAGCTCTAGTTTAAATTGTCTTTGCTTTATTCTGTTTACAAAGGAACGGAAGGCTGACTTCCTGTTTAGACCTTCCCGTTCTGTACCAAATTAGAGTAAGTTTTTAAAATCCAATTCTTTTCTACTCGTTAGTCCTTATTTGATGTCCAATTGTTCAAAGTCTAAGTACTCACGGGTGCTTATTTTAAAGTCCAAATTGTCCCAGGAAAGGCAGCGCTCTCCGGCAACGGCTATGCGGCTTCGCTCCACGGAAATAGCAGTTGACTCACAGCTCCGCGCCACTTCCCCCTCTTCACTTCGGAGCCCGTTAGTGGGTTCCTTAGCGGGTTGGGGGGGCGCTAATGGTGCCCGCCGAGTCCCATGGTCACAGGCTTCATCCACCTGTGATTTTTAAAAGGGTCCCCGCTTCGCCGTAGCGGAGAAGACCCGTTTCCCGCAGAGCTAGTCCCTCCAGTTCAGAGGGAGTCCGCCATTGCCGGTGGCGCCACCCCGGAAGTCTAGCAGTCACGAAATTAAAAGACGCCTGCTCCTTGGGAGAAAGGCGATGGCAAACCTAGACAGTATCTTAAAAAGCAGAGACATCACATTGCCAACAAAGGTCCGTATAGTTAAAGCCATGGTTTTCCCAGTAGTAATGTATGGAAGTGAGAGCTGGACCATAAAGAAGGCTGATCGCCGAAGAATTGATGCCTTTGAATTATGGTGCTGGAGGAGACTCTTGAGAGTCCCATGGACTGCAAGAAGATCAAACCTATCCATTCTTAAGGAAATCAGCCCTGAGTGCTCACTCGAAGGACAGATCGTGAAGCTGAGGCTCCAATACTTTGGCCACCTCATGAGAAGAGAAGACTCCCTGGAAAAGACCCTGATGTTGGGAAAGATGGAGGGCACAAGGAGAAGGGGATGGCAGAGGACGAGATGGTTGGACGCTGTTCTTGAAGCTACAAACATGAGTCTGACCAAACTGCGGGAGGCAGTGGAAGACAGAAGTGCCTGGCGTGCTCTGGTCCATGGGGTCATGAAGAGTCGGACACGACTAAACAACAACAAGAACTGCAGTTAGCAGATCTTGTTCCTCATTAATCCTTTATAACTTCAGATTATGAAATCACTACAGTCTCATGCTTGTAGCTGTTTCAAAGTACAGGGGAGCGTTTTGTCAGTTTGCATTTCTTAGTGCAGAAAATATTGATCTGATGTGTAGAGATCTTACCTATTCTAATTAATGCAAGAGGGGTCTGGAAGCTTCTCTGTGTAAAAGAAACAAGCAGAAGGTTCCTGATGTTTGGATTATTCCTTCTGAGAAGCTGAGTACAGCTGGCTTAAACTGGTTCTGTTAATTTGAGGGTGAACATATCAGACAACACAGCAATTCTTCAGACAGCTCTTGTTTATTCACAGGCCAGAACTGAACTGAAGGGTTCAGCCAGCCTGCTTATATAGAGCTCCACTACAACACAACAGTAACAACTTTCTGTAACTATCCAATCACTGAATGTCACTTTCAATTCCTTATTTGCATATGTGGACCTGAGTGAAAACTATCTACAGTATCCACCTGCTGGCCCAGGGTGAGAACTTCAGTACATAACAGGTTCTCTTATCTCTTTCTGTGAAGGTCATGCTGACTATAAAAGTAGGGCCAGAAGGACCCTGGGCTTCACTTTCTCTTTCTATCTCTTTTCCTTCTGGTG